CGAGTCTTGAACTAAAGTCCGTGGTGACTATGGAAGGAGAGGAACACAGAAGCGAGCCAACACCTTATATGTTGCTTGAAGACACCTCTGTGGTCCCTTTCCCTCCAGCTAGCTTTTGACAGACTGACACAAAGAAACTGAATTCTCAACGATTCCCAAGTTCATCATGTTTACGATGATTTTTATTTGTTTGAACTTTTCCATTTGAAAGGCCCAGAATTTAACAAGGTCATATACGGAGGCAGCGGAGTTCTGGTGTTGGAGATTTAAAGCCGTTCTCTTGGAACAGCCAGACGTTATGAAAGCGTTTTCCTGGCATGTAGCTCTGCGCTTTCATATCAAGCATCAGCAGGGCCTTTAAGCAATGGTTCTGAGAATGGAGGGAACACCAGCCTTTGCTTTTTCATGCTATGGACACACATGTCTGGTAGCATGTAATTATTATGAACTCTGGGGATTGTTTGCACTAGTTAATAAATTCTATGTGTGAATACATGGTGGATTTCCTCTCGTTGTCTCAAATATCTGCTGAGTCACTTTGCTCTTAGCAACCCTGACCTTTCACTAGAAAGGTCCCTCAAATCCCCAGGTGTTTGTGATGAGACACAAGCACAAACGGTTGCTAAGAGACAAAGCAGAACACTCGATCCATCGTAAACTCGCTCACGGTCAGCATGGCTCAGGAGCTCATGGACCTGATATTGTCAGGTTTTTTTTTTTTTTTTAAATCACAACGAAATGTACTTGATACAAACTGTATGAAATGTAGTTGAGTTTGTCCCAAAGCATCTGGGAAGGTGGTTGTTTCCGTGCCATAGAAACAAGTGAATGGATTGGTTAATACTGGAGTCTGCTGAAATTTCACAGAAGTAAAACTAGGCTGTTATGCCTCTCTGACCATCTGGCTAGATCGGAATCTTGTTAGTCAGCAGCATTTCCAACAAGGTTAAGGTTGATGTGTGGAAAATCCGAGATGCTAACGTTCTGCCTTTGATGTAGAACACAGCTACTGCTATTGTAGATGTGGTAGGAATCTTGCCTCCTTGTCTGTCTTTTTGGACAGAGTCTGGGTGATGGTGAAGTGGGCTTGCCCACACAGCACTGGAATTGTGCTACCTTTCTGGAGGCCAGTTTCTCAGAGCATCAAAAGCCTCCAAAAAAACTTCTGAGAAGTTTCAAAGTCTCTGTACCACTGCTTGGAGGAGCATAAAGTTGGAGAAACATATTTAATAACCAGCAAGAAAAAATTAGGTTATAGTATATCTACAATAATTACCATCTGGTGTATGTAGATATAAAATACTGTTTCCTTTGACGTAGTTTGTTGATGTGTTTAAACATGGCCATGACTAAGCTTAATTAAAGGAACTGTTTGTGAAATAACACATATAATATGACCCTACTTTATTAAAAATGTATATATCTCCATACCTAGGGACATATGTACTGAATACCTCAAATTTGCATTATGTCAGAGCTTAGTTTACATGATCCTAAGCAGCTGATTTTCACTTTTGTCTTTAGACATTAGGTAATTACCTAGTTTTAAAACAAAATAAGAATCCATTACTTTCAGAATCAGAAGAGGTTTTTTTTTTTTCTATAAGAAAATAAATCCTAGCTGAGTGTTGTGGCACACACCTTTAACCCCAGCACTCAGGAAGAGAAAGCAGGAAGCTCTCTGTGAGTTTGGGGCCAGTCTGATCTACAGATTGAGTTCCAGGACAGCCAGGGCTACATAATGAGACCTATCTCAAAACCTCCAACTGTCCCTGGCCAAAAAAAGAAAGAAAAGAAGAAATAAATCAGTGGTAAAAGTATAAAAGACAGGCTGCTTTTAGAAGCCATAAATTTCTTGGCTCTCCGAGGACCAGTGTAGGAGTCTCGCAGTTGAAGAGTTTGTTATCCACATTGTTGCACTCATAAAGTCAAATGATAGTTCTGTTTGGCTTCATGTGTATGTGGTGTGTGTGTGTGTGTGCGTTTCTCTCTGTGTGTGTATGTGTGTGTGCATGTGTGTTTCTCTGTGTGTATATATGTGTGCATGTGTATGAAAATGTGGTGTGTGCGTGTGTGTACATGTGTGTGTATATATGTTGTGTGTATGTGGTTTGTGTGTGTGTTTGTGTGTATGTACGTGTGTATATGTGGTGTGTGTGTGCTTGTGTGTGTTTGTCAATGTGTGTGTACCTGTGTGTACATGTATGTGTATGTGGTATGTGTGTGTGTCTGTGTGTGTGCATGTGTGTATATGTGGTGTGTGTTTGTCTATGTGTGTGCATGTATGTGTATGTGGTATGTGTGTGCATGTGTCTGTGTGTGTCTGTGTGTGCATATGTGTATATGTGGTGTGTATGTGTAGGTGTATACATGTGTATGTATATGTGTGTACAGGTTCATGTGTACAAGGAAACCAGACTGATGTCAAGAGTTTTCTTCAGTCACTCTCTGCCTTGTAAACTAAGGCAGGGTCTCTCGGTTGAACTCAGAGCTCACTGATCCAGTTAATAATCTCGTTAACTTAGTCTGGGCATTCCCTTGTCTCGGTATTTACATGGTGCTGAGGACTGTAGCGCCAGTGCTTACACTTGTAAGGTAGATGGTTTACCAAGAGTAGCCCCTGCCTTGTCCCTCCTGATACGGTCTTCATCCAGAGACTGGGACTGTTAGGACTGAGCACAGCATGAGACCATGACAGTTCTTTTATTGTTTTAGCTTGGTGAACAATTTTAATCCCTCATTGTATTAATGAAGGAAAAGGCCATTCTCAGGCAGTCTCTGGTAACTGGGCTCAGAAGGGGGGCTATAAGCTATAAGGGGACTATCACCCACAGATCTTAAGTTATAAGCAGGAAGGATTAGAAGAGACAGCGGAGGTAGCACTCTGCGCAGGTCACTCCTCCAATGAGAAATCCAAGAGGAAGGAAAGCTTGCTGTGTCCCGAGCATGGTACAAAACAGTTTATTTCCCAGCTAAATGCTGTCAGCACCTATGAAGCTCTCGGGGTAGGCGGGAAGAAGATAGTGACATCACAAATATCTTGGGAAACCCTGGCTTCAATCTGACGGCTTACATGGGGGAGAGCATTGTTCTTAGCATGGGGATGGCCCCTATGGACCTTCCATGTCTCCTGCTTGTATCAGAAGAAGAAGACTCCAAAACAGAGGGTGCTTTCAGGGCGGATTCCCGAGATGGAGAGACCAAATAAAGAACTCCTCTTTTATTAGCTTGCGAGGCAGTTGTTAAGTACTCTTCTCGCTGCTGTGGGTAGAGCGGTCTGCTCAGAAATACGCCAAAGAATATTAGGCCAAGAATCCGCAGGTTAAAGCCAAACCACTGGGAAGGGCTTGTTCCTGCAAACGACACCATGATTGAATTAGAAGGGAACATTTGTGTCTTGTCATCTTGTCCCCTCGCACTCAACACGTCCACAATTGAACTCCTCTTCCCTCACCAGGCCTCCCCTTAGCTGAATTTTCCTAACAGGATGCCACCGTTTACCACACTCTCTCCAGCAGCCATGATTTCTGTTTGATTGCCATTTGGGGGGACAAGGAAACTTAGGACAGGTTGTTCCAAGGGCCAGATATTCCCAAGAAATCAGTTCTGAAAACCAAGTTCTCTGACTGTTAGTCTAGTCCTACATTAATTCTACCAGGCTACTCTCCCCTCCGTATTTGTAGCAAATTCCCAGTCAGTTTAACAGAATATGTAATAGATATATAGATGGAACATATACACACTTCATTTATAGTGACATCTGACCATTAGCAGATTTCAGTAAATATAAAGTCAGATTTTCTGAAGCAGCAAAGAGCAAATGAACGGACATTTTAACACTCATAGTACTATTGAAGGAAAAAGACGCCACAGATTAAAAGTAGTGGATCTAAGCCTACACAGGCCTGGTTGGTAAATCCAAAATGAGCAAACTACCATCAGTTGCATATGGGCTGCTTGCATAGGTTCTGATGTTTTATTTTCTTTAATTTGAAAATGAACTTATCTTGGCAATTACGTACAAGTTGAGTTTGTGCCCACTTAGGGACATCTCTTGTTTTGGGGTTGAGGAGATTGCTCAGTGGTTAAAGTTCCCACCGCATAAGCAGGAGGACTGCAGTTCAGACTCTTCATGAGTGTGGGTGGACATGGTGGCCCGCCTGTAATTCCAACCTGCAGCAAGTTAGCTAGCTGCCATCAGTAACTCTGGTTCAAGAAACAAGGTGGAAAGCAATCGAGGAAGACTCCTAACGTCAGCCTCAGGGCCTCCATATGCCTGTGCACACATGTGCATGTGTATGCATATACACGCAAATGTGCGCACACACACATGCACAAGCAGTGCAACATATGGGATATTAAAACGTCTTAATGAAACAAGAACTAATACACCTTTTAGTGAACAAGAGGTGGCTACACACTCTCACAGTGCACCTACTGTAAAGCCATAAACCAAAGGTCAATGATACACACACCCGGGCATAACAAAATCTGACCGAAGAAGATGTTCGGTGTCCTCGGTTGTAGGGAAAACTTTGGCTTATTAGCACTAGAGTCTTACTTTAATAGTAATGGTCACTGGAGTCTTTTCTAATCTTTGGGACAATTCTGGCTCTGATTCACATAATGTACTGAGTCTTTTTTAATACATGTTTTGATTCTTTGAGTTCAATACTTGTTATTTCCACCTCTAAATCTTGCATGTGATGATCAGCTCAGTACAGAAGTCCAAACATGCTACCCCATAGTCTTCAAAGGCAGTCTTCTCTGCTGTAGATGCTCTGGTTTATTTGATCAATATAAATTGTTCCCAGTCACTGGATTAGCGCTTTTCAAATACTAAAAAGTTTTAAAACAAATTGGTTGGGTCTCCAAACTTGGGAAAGTGAACCATCCTTTTGGAACCTGGCTCGTTAGTAGCCATTCAAGGCTGTGTGGTCAGGACATTGATGACAACGCTTGTCAGCTGGTATGCTCAGGAGCTTGTCCTTCTGTTGCAGAATCGCCTATCAGAGGAACGATGATGATGAAGAAGAGGCTGCCAGGGAACGGCGTCGCCGAGCCCGGCAGGAAAGGCTGCGTCAGAAGCAAGAGGAAGAATCCTTGGGGCAGGTGACTGACCAGGTGGAGGCTCATGCCCAGAACAGGTACTGTCCTCGTCTCAGTGAGGCATCTCTGGGTGTGCCTTAGCCTGTCCTGTTGAATGGAATTTGCTAGCAAATTATTCCCTTCTCAGACCAACTCAGCCATTATGGTTTGGTTGGTTGGTTTTTGTTGTGGTGTTGAGATGGGTTCTTTCTGACTGGGTATCCCAAGCTGGAACTCACTGTGTAGCCCAGGCTATAGTTTTGTTCTGCTTCTTTTATTTAGTGTATTTCGAGAGGAGGCTATTAATAGCTCCATTAACTTGGTCTATGTTTTAAAAAAAATTCTTCAAAGGAGGGGTCACAGGCTCTTTGGTTCATTTCCCAGGGTAGTCTTACAAATGTTGATGTACAAGACAAGTTTAATAAGAAACTTAATGTTTAGGTAGAAGATAGCAACCTTGGCCTTTGGTAATTGGTTCCTAATTGAGGAGGAAGTATTGTCAAGAGGAGTGGAGGGGCAGGTGTGATCACTGGGATTCACTCACTGGCTTTGAACCCCAACTTAGCAATCTGTGTCCCTTCGCTTTAGTAGATACGGCCATAGCCCCCGTGAAGACTACTGCTCAGCCACAGAGAAATGCGAGTGCATGTAAGATGCCCAATGCCTTGCACGTGGGAAGCACATGACACAGTGTGCTCTTAGCAGTCACACAGAAAGGGGACAAAGGGGCCATCCATTGCCCTTTTCTGTTTCTAAGCTAAAGAGAGGGGGCAAAAATAGTTTTTAAAATGACATGTTGAGGCCTTTCCTGGATCTGGTTATTGGTGAGTGTTCAACAATGGTTTTTAAAAGTTACAACTGATCAATAGCTTTGGCTTCTGAAAACCTTGCTTCTGGACTGAGGTAACAGTGCAGGGCAGATCTCGCCTGTAAGGCCCTGGGTTTGAGCTTCGACCCAACAGCAAAATTCACAGCACATATTTAGGTCTTGTTTCTATTTGTACTCACTTCAGCTTTAGTTTTATTCTTAGCTATTTTATGAGATTATTCAAATTTACAAATTCTTTCACCAAGCGTGATGGTGCAAGCTTATAATCCTAGCACTCCAAAGGTGAAAATGGGAGGATCAGGAAGGTGTTCGTGGTCAACCTTGGCTTTTTAGTCAGTGCAAGACTAGCCTGGGCTACAGGAGACCCTGTATCAAAAGAACTAAAAAAACAACAACAAAAAATGTTTTTAAAATGAAATATATCCAGGTCTGAACATGTGATTTCCTGCAGACATATTAATCATTTATAAGTATAAAGCCCCTTCTTGGGGCTAAGCCGCTCTGACACTTAACTTCTACCAATGATTGTTACCATGATAAAAAAGAAAGAAAGAGAGAGAGAAGAAAGAAAGAAAGGAAGGAAGGAAGAAAGAAAGAAAGCAGAGAAAGGCTCAGTTGAATCTGTTGATTTCTTAACAGCAATTTCATCAGGCTAGCACTTTGGAATTTGTAGTACCTTTTTGAAACATCAGAACTCAGTTGGTCCAAACATCCTATGCATAGACCTTTGCCCTTAGACTCCCAGTTCTTTGTGTTCTTGTGGACATGCAATCTGTGTGCGGCTAATTCACAGAGACAGTGTCCTCCAGCAACAGCAGAGGCCAAACAGGCTTAAAATCTAGGATTTCCTTGGCCGTATTTTGTTGTTAAATATGAAGTGTATTTTTCCAAAACCAAGTGAACTTGAACATCAGGAGAGCCAAGTTTGGTATGAACCATGAAATTTGATGGCGTTTCTAAACATTGCAAGACGTATGCTTCTAGCTCTGGTCACAGCTCTGGTATCACATGACTGGTAATTCCAGCCAGGAGTGGCCAACGCCCTTGGTCTGGGCAGTGTCCAGCGCCCTGGAAGAGTGAGGAGATGACGGACATGCTACAGTTTGGATTTTATATTTCTTTTTTAAATAAACATTGGATTATCCGGTCTTTACCAATTGGAGAGAAGGAGAAAAAGTTTTTTATTCCTGGAAACCTATATAAAGAAGTTAGGTCAGCTCGATCAGTTATGGTAATATAGTTGCTAAGGCAATTTCAGTATTATAATACAGTAACCCAATGCATTGTGGATATTCTTGTGTACTAGATCAAGTGCTCTCCACCTTACTTTTATTTTATTACTTTTATTTTTGGTTGTTATTTGTTTGAGTCAAGGTCTCACTGTGCATCTCTGGCTGTCCTGGAACGTGCTATATAAACCAGGCAGGCCTCAAACTCACAAAGATACCTCTGCCTCTGTCTTCCAAATGCTAGGATTAAAGGTGTGCACCACCACACCTGGCTGTCCACCTTATTCTGAAGACAGAGTCTTTCACTGAGCCTGGGGTTGACTGATTCAGCTAGACTGATTGTCAGCGAGCCCCAGGGGTCTGTCTGTCTTTCTTTCCCCTATGGCTCTGTGAACCCTAAGGATCCAAAGTCTGGTGAGCACAGAGAATATGCACCTGTTCAATTGCTTTGGCCTGGGTGCATCATTTATACTCCCATTTCATTGGTTACCTGGTCCAGGTGCAAAGAAGGGCAGATGGTAGGAAATGCCATCCTTGGCTGGCAGTCATCACCCCATGAATTGTGGAGGACGCTTAGATGTCTCCAAAGTGCAGATTGCTGGCATAAATGTCAAGTCTCCCCACTGGACATACTCTTCCCCCTCTAAAGACCTTGGGTCCCACCAATCCAGATCAGGAATGACTACATGGCTCGAATATGAAACTATGATGCTCAAGGAATTCACTCATTATTCTGACTTGATCCTTGGCATAGTTGGGATCCACAGTGACCCAGATTCTGAAATTGTGTTTTAAGCACAAGTAGTTTGTAAGGTAATCCCAGGAAACAATGGTAGGGCTGTAGGTAAGTGTGGGGGGAGGGGCAACCATGTAAAGGTTGCTTTTGGGGATAAGTGGCCACTGTGGTTATTTGGAAGGTAACTCTAGTAAGAGCCATGACTGTAGAATTATTCTTCAAAACAGAGAGGCCAAAGTGTTTATCTGATGCTGCTCCTCAGGTTCTGTTGGGTGACATTAATATCCAAAACTCCTACAGCAAGTTGAGGAGACACAATGACCTGAGAAAGCCCAAGAGCAAAGACTTGGTTAGGCTCGGTTGGAAGTCAGACAAGCAAGGATAGAGTGGTAACACCTAGGGGCGTGTGAGCTAGATACTGCTGGCATCTGCTCTGGTTATGGGTGACTCTGGATGACCAATTAACCGACAAGCTGTCTCTGGTGTTTCTTCTGTCATCCAGTGTTCCTGATGAAGGGTCTAAGCCAGCCACCACGAACACTCAGATAGAAGGTGATGAGGAGGCTGCCTTACTGGAGCGCCTGGCTAGGCGTGAAGAGAGACGCCAGAAACGCCTCCAGGAAGCCCTAGAGCGTCAGAAGGAGTTTGATCCAACAGTAACAGATGCCAGTCTGTCCGTCCCAAGCGGAAGTATGCAAAATGACACGGCAGAAAATGAAACAGCAGAGAAGGAAGAGAAAAGGGAGAGTCGTCCAGGACGATATGAGGTGGAAGAAACAGAAGTCGTCACCAAGTCCTACCAGAAGAACAGCCATCAGGATGCTGAAGACACAAAGAAAGAAGAAAAGGAGGAGGAGGAGCTGAAGGGAGGGAGCGTTGGCGAAAATCAGGTAGAGGAGACGGTAGAAGAGAAAACACCAGAAACCCAAGAGGAAGCTGTGGTAATGGTATTGGAAAATGGGCAAGTCAGTGCGGAGGAGTCCAAAGTAGAGGGGGAGAGGGCACAAGACACAGAGGAGCTAGCCCGTCAAAAAAGGATGGAAGAGGAAGAGAGAGAGAGAGCCGAGGCAGAGAGGCTGAGGTTGGAAGCAGAAGAAAGAGAAAGACTCAAAGCTGAGCAGGACAGAAAGCTAGCAGAGGAACAGGCAAGAATTGAAGCCGAACAAAAGGCAGCTGCGGAAGAAAGAGAAAGGAGGGAAGCCGAGGAGCGGGCAAGGGTTGAGGAAGAACAGAGACGAATGGCTGAGGAGCAGCAGAGGGCCAAGGCAGAGGAGGAGGAGAAGGCTAGGCTAGAGGAGCAAAGACGGAAAAAGCAGCTAGAGGAACAAAGGAGCGAGAAGCAGGAAGCAAAGGACAAGGGTGAGAAGGGGGTTGAGAAAGCAGAAAGGAAAGGACAAGAAGACAGACTTCAGCCAGCTGTCCCGAAGCAGCAGGTACAGTACGCACTGCGCCCCTACTGTGTGATGCCTGCGACTCATGAGCCATGCGATGCACACCAAACAGGCGGGCTGAGGCCCTCCTGCACTTCCCCTCACCTGCTTGATCATTTGGCGAGGTGTTCATTCTTTTTAGGCCATAGCAACACCCAAGCATGACGCAATCGAACCATGGCCAAGTATGCAATCAATCAACAAATTGATGAGCCAACCGGAGAGGAATCAATTGCTCTGTGCTTGGGTGTTATGGCTATAAAAAAAATGAATCAACCCAAAGATGATGAATGTGTGGTGGGGCCGTGTCAGCTTGTTTCTGCATCTGCATCCGAACCCCTTCTTTCTGACATCTTTCCTGGGTGTACATGAGGCAAGAGGCCCAGACTTCTCACCTTGCTCTGGTGTTCAATAGTAATTGTTTTTAATTATAGAATTAGGGGTTGGGGAGTAGAAATAAAGATTAAGTTCAGACACTAGTAGCAAGACAAAAATATATAAATCCTTTGAGATCAACTGGAATAAAGGAGTGAAAGGAGACGATTAGAACTCCTTCCCCAACAAAAACATCAGCTTCAAAAGCCTGGCTTGCCATCATGTAGACCCAGGTTTAATGTAGACTTGCAGGAAGTCATTCGGTGGGGGTAGCGCCAGTTAACCACTGATGGACAACTGAGAGCATGAAGTTTGCTCCATTCGCCATGAGGGCAGCACAAGTTTACAGGGCTCTAGGAAGGATACAAATAGTAGTTGGGAAATGAAGTGTAAAATACAGTTTTGTGAGGTTCTTTTTCTTCTCTGTCTGCAAGGCTACATAAAAACCCCTTGTAAGTGCTGTAAAGGAAACAGACACGCTTGCACGGTCACCTTTCCAGAGTGAACCCGTTGTCACTGCATCGCGCCGATGTTGTTTTTCACCCCTGCTTCTGGGTCAAGGGCTCATGCACCTGGCTGTAATTGAGAAGACCATGGGCAGGATGTAGACACACACCTGGAGCACGCTGTCATGCTAGATTTCAGTGAGCACAACGGGAGCCACGGGAGAAAAAAATGTAGGGTGGGGTGGGACATGTCACACCTGCTGATGGAACCACTAGCACCAGGTACCACGGACACCCAGGGGTCTGAGTATGGCATTAGGGCAGCCACGGAAACATCACAGCCCACGCGGAGTGATCTGAGCACCCTCTCACTCTTGCAAGCTAGAAAGGGCTTCTATTTACCTGAGTGACCTTCACCATTCTTGACAAGGAAAAGGATGAAGAAAAGAGAGCTAAAGGGCAAGCTCCAAAGTCCCAAGATGACAAGGCCGCCTCCAAAAAGGAAGAGGTAAATGCTGCTACGAATAACCAGACCGAGCGTCACACACAGAGCGGCATTCCTGGAGCTGATCTAGGAACTGCAGCCCCTGTCCGGGGTCTAATGAATCACTGAATGATGGGATAGTGGAGAGCGTCTCATAACTAATTAACCAGACAGGAGAATGGCCCAGTGAGTAGAGCTGGTCATTCAAGCAGGAGGACTTGAGTTTGGTACTAGCATTCCCTAGCATGCACATAAAAAGCTGGGCATGGCATAGGGGAGTGTATAATTGCACTTTAAGGAAGCAGAGACAGAAGGATCACTAGGGTTATCAGCAGGGACTCATGGGCAGGGAGCCATTCTCACCATCAGTGAACTCTAGCTTCAGCAAGGGGTCTTGTCTCAAAAATTAAGGTAGTGACCCATGAACAACACCCAAAATCAACCTGTGCCTTACACACACACACACACACACACACACTTGAACAAACACATTCACACACACTCATATACCACACACATGCACACATGTGCACACACATTCTTACACACTCAAGCCCCACACATGTATGCCTGATAATCGGTAGTTCAAAAAAAAATAAAAGGATGAACTTGAAAGCATCTGAGGGCATGTAGACAGTAATTCTCATACAAACTGTCTTTCTAGTGGGTGTTACAGTCAAGCCCTTAGACAGCCTTGCTCCCCAGGCTTTCCAGCTTCCCTCCCCTACAGTGTGACTTTGTTTTTTTTTTTTTTTTGTGAGTCCTTCTCTGTTTGCATTTCAATCATGAAGTCTTTCCAGCTGGCTTTGACTAATGCTTTAACCTTTTCAAGAAAAAAAAAAAAAAAGAAAAAAGAAAATTCACCCTGCCCCAACCTAAATGGCAGTAGACAATTGACAAGCTGAAGATGATGTATGGTTTTCAAAAGGAAGGTTTGGTCAAATCCGCTGCATTGCATTTACGAGGCGCACACACACACACACACACACAGGGGAGCAGGCACCAGGGTGTTTGTAGGTAGGTAAATGAGGCCCCCACAGGCTGAGGGCCACAGCGCTCCAGCATATAATGCCACGCAGAAAGCCCACCTTGTTCTAACCATCCTGACTGTGCTAGCCTCAAGTGGCACTACAAATTGCCACGTTATCCAGTAAGTTCAAGTAGTTTGGATGTAGTAAAACAGAACCACCAGCAGTAGAAATACCAGAGTTATGTTGCCCAAGAGACTGATGAAGTGATCTGTAGTCATTGGATACTGGCCCAAACGGATTCTTGCTACGTTTCTCTGTTAGAGCATCCATTAAGAAAATTCCATGTGTGGAAAATAGATGGCTGTATTAAGTAGCGAGAGGGTGGTTTTCTTAGGTGACTTTGTAAGATTTGTATAAGAAGAAAGACCGTGTCATTCATACAGGATGTTACACCTGCTTTTTAGACTTTTATTCCTCTCTGTTTTTAATAGAAATTGTGGTTTGAATATGAGCACTGGCTTTGGAGGGAGAGCGTGCAAAAGCTGATGACTGAGATGCTCTACTGGGCAGCTAAAAAGGCAGCCGAACACACTGGAACATCTTCCTACATGGGAAGACGGTGTGAAATTTGCAACTCAGCGATGAAATATGGGAAGGGGAGACTGCAGTAAACCCTCCAGTGTTGTGAGAGTTAATTCACTTCCCCAAGCTACTGATTTCACTTTTAATGGCCAAAGCTTCCCATGCCCACGCAGGGTGTCTGAGTCAGAAGAGGCTCATCCTCCAGCCGTTCATCGGCCTCTTTACAGATAAGGCCCAGTCGGAGGTGTTGGTTAAACACTCCAGCAACAGCTGGTCCCAGCCCTGCCATTATCCCTTCCCCAGTTTTCCCCACAGCACAATCCAGTTCTCATCATTTCTGGCTTCATTCTTACACCAGTCTAGATAATCTCCTCCAACCAGGCTTTTCCAAAGCTCCATCTTAACATTTTAACACTGCACAGACAAACTGCTGACTGAGTGGATAGAGTCCCCTCTTCCCAGCTAGCTGGACTGCTGTGCTATGTAGGAAACTTTAAATCGGTTTTGCATGATTCAGTCATTTTAAACAACCCCTTCTTTCTTTCTTTCTTTCTTTCTTTCTTTCTTTCTTTCTTTCTTTCTTTCTTTCTTTCTTTCTCTTTCTTTCTTTCTTTCTTTCTTCCTTCCTTCCTTTCCTTTCCCCCTCCTCCTCCTCTTCTTCTTCTTCTTCCTTTTCCTCCTCCTCCTCCTCCTCCTCCTCCTCCTCCTCCTCCTCCTCTTCTTCTTCTTCTTCTTCTTCTTCTTCTTCTTCTTCATCACAAAAAGCAAACAGAAACCTTGCTTGCCTGGCAGGAATCCACACAGCGTAAGCAGGATAGGTTGACCACAAGTAAACACAAACATTCCACTGACCTTCCAGGGGAAACATTTCCCAAATTCCCTCCAGTGCTCTAAAAGACAAACAAACAAACAATACCCCCGTCTTCCTCCACTGCAGCTGAACTCTGAGGCAGCCATGGGGTGCAGACAATCTCCAACCTTGAGACATAATTAACTTTTCTGTCTTTCCTCCTCGACTATAAGCTGTCTCTTTTGAATCCTTCACTTGGTATCTATTTGGTTTTTCCCTTGGCCTTCCACAGAAAAACAGTTTCTAGCAGAGAGTCTTTTTATGACTTTGAACCTGGAGCTAACCAAGGTGCGCTAACTGTGGTCTGAAAGCCTGTAGCTGACGCCCGGCCAACTCTTGCTACTCTGGAACTTTATCGTGCTGAGGAGCATGACAGAGACTCCTGTTCAGGCGGGTCCACCTGCTCCCTTGGGCTTTTGAGTTGTCTCTAGCTTAAGGCCATGCCTCTTAAATTCCAACTCCCCCTAAAATTCCTGCACATGGTCATGTTTTCTCCCGCTAAGTAGCCCAGCTCTCTGGAGTCTCATCCAAACAGCCGGGTGTCTGGAGGCTGTCTTGGGAACACACCCATGTTGCTTGTGAACGAAGCTTGTTTACTCTTTCAGTATTCATGACCACCTGGGGCAACATTCTTCCCTAAAAAAACTAGTTCTTTTCCCAGGAGCTCAGAAGGCCATGGGTTTGCCCTGAACTTGCCATAGAATCTAATCCATTGTATTCTTTAAACTAAAATTTGAAGATCCTATAGAGTTGTTTAATTCATTTCTCAGGAGAAAATAATTTTCAGTCAAACCCAAGCCATCATTATTAGATTAGGAATGTTTCTAAGAAAGTTTCCCCTTGAGAGGACCGAGCAGGCCACCCACCATAACCCTTCCCAACAGAGGCATAGCATGAAATAGGGCGGGAGGTCATTCTTCTGTAAACATTTATTCTTTTACAAATCTATTTGAAGAAATTTTTTTGCCAAGAAATCTGAAATGCATTTTGGGGAAATGCAAGTTTTTCTGACTGAAAATAGAAGAAAAGAGTTAAAAGAAATTCACCTATGCTGTTGCCCCATAAGCTACAAGATTTGACTCAGAATTTATCTCATTTACCCTGGAAATAGCAACCTTCACCTCTGTATTTGTATTTCCAGATAACATATTAACTGGGGTGGGAACTCTAGCCCATGATTTCTGGGCCTCTATATGACAGTGACAGGCCAAAATAGAACTATCCTCTTTCTTTCTGCTTATTCAGTGAATACTGATGTGTTTTAGGGGGCAGGGACCACCACCAAGCAGACATGACCACACTGCTATACAGGCTTTGAGCTTTCTTCTCTTTGCTCAGACCCCAACCAGGGACCAAGAGGGCAATAACAGGATGGGATTTGGGAAGGGATCATTTTATCCAGCTATGTCTTGATGAGCTTCCCAGAGAAGCTGGACTGCTAACAGCTCTAGACTAAAACACTCTCTTTAGCTGCAGACACATCTCCCAAAGAGGTCATAGAAGCAACATTACAGCTTCCCTCTTCACCATAACTAAGGGATACCCACATATACCCCACCTTGGAGGAAAATCAAAGTCTCAGCTAGACCAATGTTGGTGAATAGTCCACCCGCAGTGATTTAATACCATTTAAGGAAATCATCAGGCAAAGGACTATAAAGGGTAATCTGTGAAACCACGTTCTACCTTGTAAAACATGCCTTTTAGGGGTAAATGCTCAGGGGGTGTCAAGAATCGCTGGGAAGCAGTTGAGTGGTCAGGTAAAGGGAGAAAGTTCTAGACAGCCGAGAAGCCCTGGTCTACCTTTCCTCCTCCAAGTGTTTCTGCAGAGCCCTAGATCTGTGCAACTGTCTTGAAAAGAACAATGGACATCATGCTCTCCTGCTCACATTTTAAGAATAGATGAGATAGTAATTTGAACTCTTTGCCCACCTTAAAAGCCACTTTGAAATAATCTGTTTTGTCCACCATGAGGAATTTACAACACAAACCCCACAAAAAATGACTAAAGCTCCCAACTGCTCTCTGCATATCCTTTCTGTCCATGTTACCTGACGATCACAAACCCACTTCTGGTGGTCTAACTCTTTCCCACTGTGGAAGTCAGCATGCACCCTAGAACCGTTTATATGGCTTCAATCTAAGTCCTTCCCCTAAATGCAGGTTATGTGTTGCCTCCTTGGGATTCCTTATTCATTTGACCGAAAGCCTGGATTGCAGCCCCCAGAACGGGCAGATCTGCACCACCTGCTGGCTTTTCTCTTGTTTCCTCCTTCTTAGGCTCTTATCAAAGATGCTCCCTTTAGCCAAGAAGAAACTTGGCCAAGCTACATGGCCACTCTTCCATCAAAACCACACCTGGAATTTGTTCTTCTTAGTGGGACCTGCAAGCAACTACTCTTAGGTGGAATTCCTAGAACTTGATGGTTTCCAAACATAATAACAATACTGCTCCCCTAAATAAAAACCCAGTGAGGTCAGCGATGGATCTTAACTTCCTAAAGCTAAGGTTCAGGTTTGGGCTCACAGGCCAAAGAACTATGGTTTTTTCCTCTCCAATAATGTTCTTAGTTTCATTTCTACATCATGTTCTGAATGGTCGCTCTATGTCAAAAGGCTTCTTTAAAAGTTGGGGTCTTGGTAACAGCCAAAACCTAGTAAGATGTTTATAGTTATCTATCTTCTTGATGTGTATCCTTGGTTAGATCAAAGATGAGAAGATTAAGAAGGACAAAGAACCCAAAGAAGAAGTCAAGAGCTTCTTGGATCGAAAGAAGGGATTTACAGACGTGAAGGCACAGAATGGAGAATTCATGACTCACAAGCTTAAACAAACCGAGAATGCTTTCAGGTAAGTCGTGATACTCAACAGTCGCTGTCTTCCCCCATGTCTCCTTGTCCTGCACCTCCAGACAGAAAGGATCTGACCTGACAGCGTTCTTCCCTTTGTCCTGAAGATATAGTCAGCAGGTCCTGTCTCCCTGTCACGAGCAGGAGACCAGAACTCATTGCTCAACCACAGCTTAATCCTCTTCTAGTTCTTCTTCTTTTATAACAGCAAGGCATATAATGCTTAGTGTCCATGTCTTGACAATATGCTCGTGTGGTATCAGTGTACTAAGAAATACTATGACTGGGATTAATATCATTAGTTCATGCTTTGGATGGTCCAGAAAACTTCCTACAAACCTTTCTCGGCACCATTTTTAAGAGTCCATTTTTGCTAAGGTTGTAAATCAGTGTTTCGTGAAGCTCAGATTATTCTGTGATCCAAAACCTTGGGGTGCATTAGGTTAAACCAAATCACAGCCTTTCCCCATAGGACTGTAAGAACCCTCTATGTAAATTTGCCTTCATTTCCCATTTTAGGAACATATAAGAAAGTGAGAGAAGCAAGTTACCACAATGTAGTTTATTTTTGTCCGTGTCTGCTAGAAGTTGATACCCATACAAGTAGAGAATGTTGTGTTCCATATACTGGGAGGAACATAGTGAGAGCCTTTAGCTAGATGCTTACTTACCAATTGAGCTAAAAGCAAGCTGCTGTGTTCTTCATCGGCAAAAGCCTGGTATTGGATTTGCCTTAAGCTAAAAAAGCCAAAGACAGGGCAGAACGTCCTGGAAGGTATTTCCATATACCACCCTGGTACTACAAGCCTACCAGCATGTTTAAGCAGAGGCAGTATAGTCAAGGTCTTACTCTCATTTTGGTAAAAGTTGACTTGATTCTTCATTTTTAAGGTTAGAATTTTTTTAATTCAACTACCAGTAACATTTATTCCACATATTTTTCTATGTATATAATACTCAAGATAGCTCACACACACAGGATCATACAATATACATATGAGTGAATGCGATCAGAGGTGCATATTTTACAGTGGTCCTGTACCATGTGCTGCGGAGCCAGCTTTCTAACGCCAACCAAACCTAAGCCTGCACTTAGTGACTCTTGAACCGGATCCTCACGCCTAAGGCTTTGATTACACAAAATAAAGACTTAGCGACACCTAGTGGATCCCAGAGGAGGTTCCATAGGCCTGTCCTCTAGTCCACACCGTGAGAGGAGAGAGCAAACTACTTTCCAAAAACACAAAGACCTTCACATGAAGTGTAATGGAAGGGTGGAAGAAACCCTTGAACCTCGTGCAAGTTCAAAATGAGAGCTCACCTCTGACCATCAAGAACCTGTTATGCTTTATCATCTCAGCCCATAGTAACAAATTTATATCATGACCCTGCCCCTCCAACATACATGTTTATAGCTAAAACAAGTTGCACATGGTACTGTCTTTACCTCTACACCTCGTTCACTATTTAAAATGTTGAGACCAATTTACTAAACTGATTTTTTAAAACCTGAAGCTTGAGAAACATCGACTCAGAGGAAACAGTATATTCTGCACTGCCTCTGTGTTCAAAAGCAAGAGGTGTATAACATAAGATCAGTATTGTGCACTGCATGTCTTCAACCATGCCCTGTTTCATTCATTCTCTTGTTCCGTAGCTGGAAGCGTTGTGCCATCCCTGACACAGAATAAATATTAAACAGTGTGATTCATTGTTCCCGAGACAAAGGGGTTGGGTGTGGGATTGCTGTGTTTGGATCTCGTTAGTAATGACCTCACTGTACATTAGTAAGTATATGAACAGAAGCAATTCCACATCTCTGTCTTGCAGTTAAAGGCTCCCTGTATCAAAGCCTTTAAGGGAACCACTAGATTCCCCTCCAGTCCAGTTCAGGGACGACCCAGCTTGTGTGACTTCACTGGTGAAGGCAGCGTATGCTCTGTTGGTCCTCACCAGACAGCCGTCTTGTTTTTGAGGCAGGGTCTCTCACTGATCGGGAGTAGGCGGGGCTGGCTTTCCAGGCTGTGTGGCTTTGCTTCTCATCACACCCAGCTTTGTACCTGGGTCCTCCTGTTTGCACAGCAACCGCTTTACCGACTGAGCCACCTTCCTAGCCCTCAACTCCTTTCTACAGCTCGGACAAATTGTTTATCTCTCTCACCTTATTCATAAAATTCCTATTTTATGAATGACCCAGATCTTATGACTATGAAAGGAGATGATACATTTGAAAACATTTGTAAGATATAATGACTGACCCCTTTGATCTCCAGTAACCACCCTAATCATGCCACATCTGTAATAATTTAGAGTTTTAAATCCTGACAAAGGATACTCCAGCTGTATTGGGGTCGGAGATGGTAGAAATAAACTCTTTGGATAAGAAAAATGTCCCAGAAACTCTATCAAAATAGACATACCTTAGTGGATTTAACTCCCCCATGAAACAATAAGGCTCAAATAATGGTAAACACCTACAGTCCCAGCATTTAGGAGGCTGAGGGAGAGGGATTATGAGTTTGAGCTAGGGGCCAGCTGTAGAGAGATCCTGTCTCAAAAACAAACAAACAAACAAACTACAGTTTGGTGGTGTTGACTGCATTCCCGAGGGCCTGCAGCAGCGCTCCACTCCGTAATCCTTTCATGCTGAGGAATTGAGACTCCACACTCACACACAGCTCCTCCTTAGCTACCTCCTACGCCCCTGAGAACCACCACTCTCTGTTTCTACGAATCTGATATTGCTATAGATTCTTTATACAAGTGGAATTTTGAGGTATTTGTCCTTTTCTAACTAACTTGTCTCATTCAGCAGAATAGTTTCAAGTTCACCCACATTGTAGCATGTGTCGGTATTTCTTTCAGAGGCTGAACAGTAAGCATTGCATGGCGAGGATGTACCACATTTTACTAATCCATTCATCCTAGGTTGGACTCAGGTTGCTCCTACTTCCTGGCTCTTGTGGATAATGTTGTTATGAATATAGGAGTTCCACCATCTCAAGACCTTGCCTTCAATTCTTCTGCCTATGTGCCAAGTGATCTATCTGGATCATATACAAAATAGTATTATTTTCAGGGTTGCCCGGGAATGGGATGTTTTTCCCACATTCGGTGCACCATTTTTACTTTGCCGGCAGTAGAGGCCCTTGTGCAGTCCTTATTTTCCATGTAGATCCCCACAACCAACCCCAGGGCTGGTGTGAGGATCGGGCGCCTGGGTCTACAGTGTCCACAGTCAGACACTGTCCTCCTTCCAATGTGGGCTGCAAGACAGAACCAGGTAATTGCTTTTCCTTTCCTCCTCCCTCAGCCCCAGCCGCCCCGGAGGCCGGGCCGGTGGGGACAAGGAAGCCGAAGGGGCTCCACAAGTGGAAGCCGGGAAGAGGCTGGAGGAGCTGCGCCGGCGCCGTGGGGAGACTGAGAGCGAAGAGTTTGAAAAACTCAAACAAAAGCAACAGGAGGCAGCCTTGGAGCTGGAAGAGCTGAAGAAAAAGAGGGAAGAGAGGAGGAAGGTCCTGGAGGAAGAGGAGCAGAAAAGGAAACAGGAGGAGGCTGAACGAAAAGCTAGAGAAGAGGTAAGGGCTGCCTGGCCCAGCCAGGGAAACTCGGAGATCCCTAAACTCTTACGTGTGTGGCCCATGACCTTGTAGTCCAGAGGAACAGTCCCTTGTAGTCCCCTGCTACTCTTCTGAGAGTGCGCTCTTGAATATATAGTGTGTCAATCACAAACCTGGTAGCTCAGTCAGTAGAGCGCTTGCTAGGCGTGCACAAAGCCCTAGATTCTATCCATAGTGGTACATACACCCCTGTAATCCTAGCACTCAGAAGGTGGAGGAGAGGCAAAAGTCCTCCATCACTACTTATCAAGTTCGAAGCTAGCCTAGGTTATAGGAGAGACCCTATCTCACAATAATAATAACGATCATTTATTATGATGATAAACTTGCATGTCTCTGAACCCTGGGTAATTGCGTCCCCATTTTCTAGATGAAGAAATTGAGGCACAGAGGAGTTTATATAATTTTCCCACTGAGCCTATTGTCCTATATAGCTTCTCAGTGAAGAACAATGGGGACTCTGAGAGACGAGAGGTCTGTCATTTACCACAGAACCAAGCTCCAAGCTGGGAAGCAGAGTGGGTGTGGTGGGTTCATGCCTGCCATCTTCCTGCTGGAAGGCTGAGGCAGTAGTTTCCTGAGTTCAAGGCCAGTCTAGACTCTACAGTAAGTTTCAGTCCAGTCCCGGGTTACATCGAGAAATTCTCCTTGCAAAGAATAAAAAAAAAAAAAAGAGAAAGAAAAGAAAAACACAGTTGTTATAGGATATCTAATATTTGGGGAGGCTTTGCAGAGATGTTACTATTATCACTGATGTGTATGAAATGCAAGCGTGGGGGTGTATTGTGTGTGGTAGTCAGAGGACAGCTTTGTGGAGTTGATTTTCTCCTTGCACGTTTTACATGAGTCCCAAGGGTCGGACTCAGGTCTCCAGGCTTCTGCCACAGCCTGGTGTTCGCTGAGCCATCTCCCTGACCCTCGAATTTCTCCAAGAAGATTAGAATGTACAGAGGCTAGGACGATATCTGCTTTGTCCACTACTTTATACCAGCACCCAACCCAGGGCTTCCGTGGCACCAGAACCCTGCCACTTGTTAGCAATGCAGCCAACACAGACAGGGTTTCCACGGACCCCTGCCACTGTTAGCAACGCATTTGTTTGCATTTGTTTCATTCTTCACACAGAGCAGATCGGGTTACAAGGAGGGAAACTTGACCTGAGCACATGAAAAACCAGCTAAGTCAGCCACAACTTAGATGACTATGGTTTACAGGGTGCATTCTTTTCTTACTTTATGGGGAAAGAAGCAAGGAATTGAAAAGTAAGAGTGGCTTGGTTGAAGATGCGTGAAGGATAAGTGATGAAATAAGTGTGGGCACCCCGCTTTTCCAACTCCTGAGCCTAGAACTTTCCAGGTCCCAAGCTCCTAGCCCCTCAAAATACTTGAAAAGATTTTCACTGATTTTTCTGACGTGGATGTTATACAGTTTCCTAAGTTGGGTGGGAAGTTTGGAAGAACTATTCCAGTGTCTCTTCCAACTCTGGCTTCCAATCAGGCCATGACCTCTAGCTGGAAAGTGATTGCGAGGGTAGAAGTTTGTAATCTGACGGACTCTGCCACTTACAAGCTGGGACCTTGGGACAACACTGAGACACCCTGTCTTATTTTCCTCATCCCTGAAATAGTATCTACTTTGCAAGATTTTTCTGATGACTAAGTAGATGGCTGTATTCGTAGTGACTGACACATCGCAGGCACTCAAAGGAGGAACTGCCATATGGCATTGCTTACAAGGGGATGTCAGGACGAAAGCAGTGGGTTGTATCTAGAGAGGTTTGGGGGTCCATCCTTCCACCAAGCACAGAACCCTCTTACTACATCCTTTGGCCCTTTAGAACAGCTAATGATACGATATAATGGATGTTTTATTCTGATATGTGTGTGCGTATGTGTGTTTTTGCTTGTGTGTAAGTGTTCATGTGTATCTGTGTGAACATGTATGTGTGTGCGCGTGTGTGTGTGTGTGTCTGTGTGTCTGTGTAAGCCAGAGGTCAAATTTGAATATTGTTTCTCAGGCATCAGCTACTGTCTCTTTTATTTTATTATTTATTTATTTATTTATTTATTTATTTATTTATTTATTTTTGGTTTGGAGACAGAGTTTCTAACTAAATAGGGACCCCAGGGGTCCACCTGTTTCTGCCTTCCTGGTAAAGGGTTACAAATGTGAGCTACCGTATATGGGTAATTTTGAGGACTGAACTCAGTCTTCATACTTATACAGCACATATTTTTCCTACAGAGCTACTTCATCCATTCTGTTTGTTTTGTTGTCTCCTGTCTGTCTGTCTGTCTGTCTGTCTCTGTTTCTCTCTTCCCCCCTTTTCTTTCTCTCTTTCTTCTTCATTTTAAGAAAGGCTCTCGTGTGTTACACATTGACCTTGAACTTGCTATGTGGCTGAGGCTAACCTTGAACTCCTGATCCTCCTGCTCCTACCTTCCAAGTATAGCCCTGTACACCTATACCACTACACCCAGTTAATCTCACAGTTTGAAACAGCCTTTCAGAAAATCACTCTTAAAGAACAGAGGCGACTTGATCAGAACCCTGAGCTTTAGCCTGATAGAAGACAGGGTGCTCTCTAGATCGGGGCAAAAGCACAGAAGGTTAATGAGACCCTCCGCAGCCTTCCCACTGAGGAACAATATCAGCATCCTCTCAGGTTGTCACACCACCTAAAATAATGTCTTCAGTTGAGTCAGGAACTGCCACAAAATCATCTCAACCTGTGGAACTCACACAATTTGTCAAGCCTGGTGCTGTAGATCTGCAGCACTTTCTGCACAAAGGATTCCACCTTGACAGCCCTTCCTGGAGGCAGGTAGAGAGAGCCTTCATAGTCACTTCCATATTCAGAAGTGGAAGGCTGTTGCTAAGTGGCTTACAAGGTGGTGATGGTAACAGATCACCTTTCAGGAAGCCTTGTTGAGTGTCTAAACATTTCAGACGCATCTTTTCTAAATTAGTTGTCAGGATATTCGGTGACCGTTGTGGCTCTGTTTTACACATGAGGAAACTGAGGCACTTGAAGCAGATGATGTGACATGCTTGCTATTTTCTCTCAGGAAGAGAAGAGGAGGCTAAAGGAAGAGATTGAAAAGAGAAGGGCAGAAGCTGCTGAGAAACGCCAGAAGATGCCAGAAGATGGCTCGTCTGAGGACAAGAAGCCATTCAAGTGTTTCACCCCCAAAGGCTCATCTCTCAAGGTATGTTTCTCCCAGAAATTCTTATAAAACTTCTCTTCCAGTATCATAGAAATGAGATTGGAGCCCCTTCGTTTTTTTCATCATCCAAGAATTTCTCTGCTTCATTTAAATGTTTGCTGTGCTGTGTTAATATGTTTAGGCTACAATATCAAAATTATCCTTGACTTGGTTATTGAGGTCCAGCCTCAACATAAATTATCTCTCCAACCAGTGTAGAGGCATGGGAATAACTGAGGCACAGTTCACACAGCGATATCAGGGTTCATTCAAATCCTGAAGATGACTCACATTTATTATCCAACAGCTTTTATATCAAAAGGTAAACTGAGGGGGAAGTACATTAGCATTCTGTTTAGGGGTAGCAGGACTTAGGTCACATCCACAACCAAGGCTGCTCTGTCACGTAGACTGAATTAACACCTCTTCCCCACTTTGTTACTTATAAACAGCAGAAATTTATTGCCCACAGTTCTGGAAGCTGAAAAGTCCAAGATCAAGGCACTAGAAAATTCAGTGTCTGGTTCTTTGTAGATGACACTTTCTTGCTATTCTCATATAGTGGAAGGGAAAAGAAGGGTCAAGCAAGCTCCCTCTGGCCTCTTTAAGAAGCTCATCAATCCCATTCATGAGGAGTCCACCCAAAGGCCCCACCTTTTAGATAGCACATTGGGGATTAGACGGCACCATATGAATTTTAGAGGGCTACAAACATTTGAACACTGACTCTTTCAGCTACTTATGTTAATTTTGGGATTACTAAAAGCAAAACAACTGGAATTAGTCCAGGTGCAAATTGCAAAGCTATTCCTGTAGGAGATGAGATGCAACTTAGATAAGGTCCTTTTCCGGGAGAGTTAGGTTACTACTGCCTTCATGGAGCAGACCTCCTGACTCTGAAGTTAAGAAGTCAAGAAGTTCTTGTCCAGAGGAAAAGAAAGAGTAAAACAAGGACTGGTCAGGGAGACTGTGGGCTGGTTGAGATGTGTGTAGTGGGGGAAGGCAGCAGACTCGATTGGTCATTTATTACCAAGCCTCTCTTTTGCTTTGAGCACTCAGCCTGGTACCTTATGTGTGGAAGGTATCTGATAAATATTTACAGAGGAATCCTGAGTGAGTGAGTGAGTGGTGGCTCAGAGAACCTTCAGCATCCCTAGCCTGTCTTCATCTACCAATAGCTTAACTTCACTAGAACCATCAATAATGGGCAACGCCAGTGTCAAATCTCAACTAGGCTCCCATGTGAAAGGGACCAAAAGCCAGTCACCTCCACTTTTCAGTTGTTACCTATTTGTCAGAATGTTTTGTGTGTGTGTGTGTTTGTGGGGAGAACACATGCATGGGGGGATGTGTATGCATAGATGTCCATGCGTGTAGAAGCCAGAGGTCAACTTCAAGTGTTGTTCCTCAGAAGCCATCTGCCTTTATTTTTTTTGAGTCAGGTTCTCCTCTTAGCCTGGAACTACCTGTCTTCAGGTCCTCAGAGCTGTAATTACAAGCACATGCAACCCCAGCTGGCTTTTTACATTGGAACCTGGGGTTTGAACTGAGGTCCTCATGCTTCTGGGAAACACGCTTTACCAAATGAGCTCTTTCAGGAGCCCTCAGCATTCAAATAATCTCACTTAGTCTTTATGATAACGTGAATGCTAGTCACAGGTTGGTTGGTTGGTTGGTTTGTAGACCATGTCTCACAATATAGTCCTGACTGTCCTAGAACTTGTTATGTAGACCAGGCTGGTCTCAAATTTATAGAAACCCACCTGCCTCTGCCTCCTAAGTGCTGGGATTAAAGGCATGTACCACTATGCCCAGCTTGGTTACAGTTATATTTCCCAGAGTACCATTGTGAACTGGGTAATAACAATTTGGTCAATCATAGACCAGATGCACAATACTGGTACATAATAATGACATGGTAGGTGTCTCAGTTTCTGTCAGTAGGATCAAAGCATGATGTTCACACAGCAAAATCATCCAATGGACAACGTGTTTCTCAAAATGTATCCTTGTTGCAGGAAATCCATGACTTTTGTACTTGACCATTCATCTCAGGGTCTGCTGTGGGAAAATCCAAGACTTACTCTTTAAAAAAAAAATCCATTTGGCTTATACTTCATTGTTTATCATTGAAGATAGTCAGGACAGGAACTCACACGGGGCAGGAACCTGATGCAGAGGCCATGGAGGGATGCTGCTTACCAGCTTGCTCCTCATGGTTTGCTCAGCTTGCTTTTTTATAGAACCCAGGACCACCAGCCCAGCGACGGCGCCACCCACAATGGACTGAACCTTCCCTCATCAATTGCTAGTTAGGAAAATGTCCTACAGGCTTGCCCACAGCCCAGTCTTATGGAGGCATTTTCTGAGCTGAGGCTCCTTCCTCCCCATGACTATAGCTTGTGTCAAGTTGACATAAAACTAACCAGCACAGCAATATAAGCAACTGGGAATTTATTTTTAAATATCTATATTTATAATGTAACTAATCTGTGCTACATACTGTGAGAAAGAAAAGTGCAAAGTACGTTTGCTGCCCCTTTATGGGAATATAGCTGACGGCCTCGCAGGGAATGATTCAGGACTCACAAAGGGAGCAACATCCCAGCCAGTGAGCCCTCAGAGCACAGCACAATAAGGCCTACAGTAGGCCAGCTCCATCTCTGAACACTGAAATTTGAATTTCATATAATTATGTCATGAAATGGTTTTTTTCAACCCTTAATGGTGTAAATTTTTGTTAAAAGTGGGGGCTGGAGAGATGGCCAGGAGTTAAGAACACTTGTTACTCTTGCAGAGGACCTGGGTTTAGGTCCTAGCACCCACTCAGCAGCCAGCAACCATCTGTAACTCCAGTTCCAGAGGACCTAACACGTCTTCTGGTCTCCATGGGCAATGAATGCGGACATACATACATGCAAAACACCCATACATATAAAAAAAAATTTAAAAACTAAATCTCACAAATAAAGAGTACTTAAGGCTGGTCGTAGTAACACTGTTATTCCAGCACTGGAAGGCTAACACAAGGGGATCATCAGTTCAAGGCCAGCCAGCCTGGACTACCTACCTAGTGAGTTCTTGGGCAACCAGAGGTACAGAATAAAACCATGTCTCAAACAAATGCAAAACCATAAAAAATGTTTTCATTTGGTTGTTTGGGACCATCATGGTGAACAGCGCTGACCACGGCTTGAAAATCACCGGTATAGAAAAAAAGAGCAGAAAGACGAAAGGAACAACAAAGCCATCAACCAACCAATAAGAAGAAAACTTCCCTCTACTCTGGCTATCTTTGCCAGAGTGCAGCCTGTCCCCAGTTCGGCTCTTTTATTCCTGGATCAACAAATAATCAAAGAAAACAATGTTCTCCCTTCCTTCCTTCAAGTCTCTCCCAAGCTGAGCCTTCCTTGAACAGTCCTGATAACAGGAGAGCAGTCTCACTGAGACTAGATCCTATCTACCCTGAGTGCTGGAGAACCTGGGGCTTCCTTCCCCCAGCAGTCTTTAATCATCATCTCCTTTCTACCCAGCCCCTCGGCTTCCTCGTTTCTCACGTCCATCCTTCTATTTTCCTCGGGCCTTCCTAGGAAGCCCCCTCTGTCTTCTCTCTTACAGAACTACACAAGTCAATAGTCATTTAGTCAATGCATAGAAAGGACCAGAGCATTTTTAATTTATACATAATAGAGATGAGCGTTCAGGAATACACCATGTGCCCCTTGTCTTGATGGCATGTTTCTTAGAGAGTTTCCTGAGATTTTCCTAAATGCAGTTTATCCTATAATGGAATTCCAGTAGCTAGCGAGGCTGCAGCTTCAGTTATAATCCCTCTGACACACAGGTGCTATTGTGTAGTGCCCACAGGAGGGGTACATCTGAATCTTGACCTCAAAATAGTACTAAATGGTATATTTTGTGTATTACTTATGATCTCTACCGTCTGGGCAATTCTATGAGTTCTCATTGCTTGATTATGGTAACAATGAATGATAATATAAGCAGAGAATAAATTTTACGTAGAGTAAATCTAAAGGTCTCTGATGTTGGTTGTTGTAGTTTGTTGATGGAGATGTGGAATGTGAAGTAAAGAAAATACGCAAATTAACTTCTGAAACCGGCAGTATTATCTCTTCCCCGAGTATGTTGAGACCGTACTGTTGCCTCCTGTCATCAGGGGCAGCCAACTTCCCTCCTTAAATTCCTTCAATGCTGTGCAGTATTTAATTCGTGAACTCCACACAAACTGGTAATTTAAAGCAGGCGGTTAAGGCATTTTTCAGCAGAAGTCAGTAAGCGGAGGGTGAGTCCTAACTAGATCAGAAAATGAGCTCAAGCTGAATTAACCACACAGGAGGAATGGGAGTGTGACAGCCGAGGTGAGCGGGACAACTTGAGTCAGTAAGATGCTGACAGAACCCCACACACACGACACAAGTCTCAGTTCTCCTTGGTCCTGCACTGCAGTGTGCTCCCCACTGCCCTCGGCATCCCATGTCTCTAAATATTTGACTTGTTAAAAAAAAATTCCCCTCTAGTTCATGTATGCCTCCCCTCACTTTCATAAGTTCACTGGGGAAACTATAAACTACAAAACTCAGTTTAAATATCAGAATTTCTGAAAAGGCTCCTCTCCCCTCCCCCACTGTGTCTTATAGATGTGGCATCGTGTTCCCATCTTTAATTTGGCATCCACCACTGACATTTAAATATTTTGTTTCTATGCTCTCCTAATCTACTAAGTGTGTTTTCTCCTTAAAGGATCTTTTGTCCCCCTAGTCTGCCAAGGAACACACATGCTGAAAGACTCCATAGCTGATCCTGTCCGGGAATCTACTGTAGTGACCTGACCTAGGTTGACAGACTTAAATGCTGCCTTCTCTCAATCAGTTTGGGTGAATAAAACAGATTACTGTAGACTGGGCAGTTATCATTGCCTGGCGTGATGGTGCATGCCTGTCAATCCAGCACTTAGGGTACTGAGGCAAGACGATCAAGAATTCCAGGACAGTCTACACTACACAGTAGGACCCACGCAGCTAATTCGAGTAGACATCTGTTTTCCACAATTTTGGAGCCTGGGGAGTGCAAGGGCATCAGTGTGCCAGCCCTGCTGATTCTGGAAAAGGTTCTCCCCTCCTTCACAAATGGGCACGTTCTTGCTGTCTCCTCCTGTGACAGAGAACATGGCAATAGGCAAGCTCTCTTGTCTTTTTCATCAGTGCACTAATGCCATTCCCGAGAACTCCACCCTCCTGACACAATTAGCTTCCAAAGGACCCATTCCAAACGCCATTACAGGTGATAGAGATTTAAGTATATGAATAATTAATATGGCATTGATCTGTGTTATGTGTGGTGGTTTCTTGTTTCCAAAACTCCAGCCCCTCTCTCTCTGCATTCTTTATCCTCTTCCAGTCCTCCTTTCACTTCCCTGATGTCAAATACATAATTCCTACTTCTCTCCCCATCTGGGCTGCTGTGCACATCACTGGAGCGCCTTCACATGCTCTGTGGTGTTTTTCATTTACCAGGTTCAGGAATGGCAGTGGTGTGGCTAAAGGGCACTGTGGGTAAACTACAGGCCACCAAGTAGGACCACAGGAGAGACTTGTGCCACTCTTGATCTGCCTTGCCTTCCAGAAGTGCTCACAAGGTATTTCAAAGGCACATCGGTGCAGATTCTATTCAGTCGTGTCTCAGTCTGTCAGGCTTCAGAGCGTCCCAGTGTTGGGGCTTTGCACGTCATTTTCCTTCTGCATATTCACACGGCTTCTTCTCTTCTTTTTCTATTTCCAGATAGAGGAACGAGCAGAGTTTTTGAACAAGTCAGTGCAGAAAAGGTAACTATAACTGACTGTTCAGCTGAGACTCATCAGCTGTGACACACACGGAGAGATGTCCCTTGACTCATGTTTTCGTGTCTGTGTTTACTTGGCAGTGGTGTCAAATCGACGCATCAAGCAGCAGTAGTCTCCAAGATTGACAGCAGGCTGGAGCAGTATACCAACGCAATCGAGGTGAGCGCTGTTCCCTGGTCACAATCCTACAAAACAGAAACAGGCTGGGATTACATATGTGGTTGCAGAAACTTTAGGGTGATGGATGAGTCTGGTACCCTGATAATATTACAATATTAATAATGATCTCCATAACTAGCTATGAAGAAATACAGTAAGAAAGATGTATTAGAGACTTTTGAGTAGGTTGTTTTTAGCACTTGTAGTATGATTTTTCTTTGTGTATGAATGTTTTGCCTGAATGTACATATGTGCGCCCTTGGAACTGAAGTTATACTTGTGAGCCACCGTGTAGATGCTGGGAACTGAATCTGGGTCCTCTGCCAGAGCAGCGAGGGTTCTAAATCAATAAGCCTTCTCTCTAGTCGCTAATAGATAGATTGATGGATATATGCATCATAGGTAGTCACAAGTATATCTTGAATTTTGTTTGCGGAAACCTCCTACTAATAAATACGGTAGCATGAAATAACATAAAGATGGGAACCACCTTGTGTTCATCATCATCCATTTTACTGGTTGGTTAGTAGTAAAAGGATCATAGTTTTATGTTTTTATCAAAGTTTTTTTTTCTGTTCAGTTGACTTGGGAATTTGATTTTGTTTGAAAGAAATGTGTCTTTCTCATCCAAAGCACTAAAAGATTAGCATCACTGATCAAGATGTGATGCTTTTATGTTCTTTGTGTAGACTTGAGCAACGGCTTTAACCTTCTGTATCAGAGCATCTTCAGTGAAGCAAATTGTTTGGGTTCACTTTCTTTTTCTCCTCTCCTTTGTACTCAGAGTAGAGATGCCTAGAATGTAGTTCACAAATGACATGAGAGATTGAGAGGGGAATCTTATGATTTATTAAATACTTAATGAAGTACCAATACCCATTTTATTCACAAGACTGGTGTCCACTAAAACATGACAAACTGTGCACAGTTAATTTCTATGGTTAGATTGGTCCTAGCACTGACGAATGAAGCCAAGACTGTGGCCTCAGACCGGGCACAGGCACATTTTTGTATACCACTGAAGATGTAACTCATCCCTACTAAACCACCAGCCACAAATCAGGTCTGATAGAGAAGCCATCTGGGCTTGTCTTTGTCTACAGCTGGGACAGTTTCTCAAAGACGTGCCCTTCTTACTTGTCTCCTTTGTTCCTTCCAGTATATTCTCTATGCTGTCCTGCCTCAGCCTTTCAGTCTTGAAGAACTTCCCCACTTTGGGGCATCTACATATGCTGTTCTTCTGCATAGAATGAAGGCCTCCTCCTATTCCTTTTCCTACTTCTGAGTCTCTGGTAAAATCTGGTTGTAAATGTTACATCCTTAGAGAATCCTTAGCCTGATTGATATTCTCAAGCTAAATAACATTTCCCTGTTATGTGTTCTCTCTTCTAGAGATAAATCACAATCCATTATTTTCATAGTGATTACTACAATGCAAAATAAGTACTAATAAGTTACTGACATTTATCCTATTGAAATATAAGCTTACTGTGGTTTATGGAACAAACTGGCTTGCTTTGACAAACTCTACCAAAGTTAGCGTGCATAGTAGGTGCTAAAAGCCTATCTGCTGGGAGATGTTCAGTAGATGACATATGCTGTTCTTCTGTAATCACATAGGACTTCTTTGTAATCTGAAGACTGGAGCTCAGACCCCCAGCACCCATATAAAAGCTGAAGGCATGGCAGCCTGCATTTGGAAGGCAGAGACAAGGAATCCCTGGAGCAAGCTGCCTAGCTAGACTAGCAGAACCAGTGAACTACAGGGTCAGTGAGAGAGCATGCCTCAGTGTAGAAAGTGAAGGGCAATCAAGGGAAACACTGGGCATCTATCCAGTGTTTGTACATGGTTTCCACATGTACGTACTCACACACACACACTCAAACACATATGCATAGCACACACACACATGCATAGCACAAACACATACACATTTAAAAACAAAACAGAACAAATGCCTATCTACTGGAGAAGCTTGGGAACTAGTTTACTCAGCAACTGCACAAGCAAAAAGAGCCTACAGTTGAGCCCTAGGAGCCACATAAAAACCGCCAGGTGTGGCTGCACACATTATAATCCAGTGCTGAGGAGTTAGAGACAAGAAGGTTCTTGGGGGTCACTGGCCAGGCCTCCTAGCTGAATCCATGAGCCACCCCCTCCCCTCAAAAAAAAAAAGGCCCCTAAGGAATAGCACCTGAGATTGAGCTTTGGTCTCCTACACACACACACACACACACACACCTGGCTTCCACATACATTCATACATACACACAAACATACCAACACACATGCACATTAAAAACGAAAACACCAGAAAATAATCTGTTGAGGAAATGGAGTCCTCTTTCTCCTGAATGACAGAGTCCTAAAAAGCACGTTTCTTTTCTGGAAGAGCCTCTGCTCCAGCTCTGATGGTTTATGTGAAGAATCACAACATTGGAATGGAGCTGTACAAGAGAAACCACGAATCCCTTTCGATAGACGTGCACACCACGATCTTTTTAGTTGATGGTGCTGAGTAAGACCAGTTCGCTCTGATTTTATGAGAACAAACTTCAAAACACTGTCTTAAAGCATATTTGCACATTTCAGGGAACAAAGGCTTCCAAACCTCCTAAGCCTGCAGCCTCGGATCTCCCTGTCCCTGCTGAAGGGGTCCGCAACATCAAGAGCATGTGGGAGAGAGGGAATGTGTTCTCCTCCCCCTCTGCCTCGGGAACACCAAATAAGGTATGAGCATACATCTCATCATCTCAAGTTTTGAAAAGTGGATTTTCCCCATTTGCATTAGGAACAGCCTTCATTCACAACAAATGCAATGAGGAATGTACAACCTGCATTTTGATTTGCCAAAAAAAAAAAAAGGGCAAAATAAAGCAAGCTCATAGAGATTGTATTCATGGGCTAGCCTCTGTACTCAGCGGTGGCCATGGACCACTAAATGAAGTGCTTGCATTTAATTATCAGTCATTAGGGTTAGGATGGGACGAGGAGACATGGAATAAAAACTGATATTTCTTTTTTTAAAGACTTATTTTTATTATATGTGTATAGCTGTTTTGCATATATGTTATATGTGTATATATATATATATGCACTATGTGTATGCCAAGTGTCTGCAGAGATCAGAAGAGATCATAGAATCCTCTAGAACTGGAGTTTCAAACGGTTGGGAGCCACTGTGTGGGTGCTGGGAATCGAGCCCAGGTCCTCTGGAAAAGCAGCCCATGCTCTTAACCACGGAGCCATCTCTCCAGCCCCTGATATACTTTTTAAAGGGACAGAATCAATACAATAAATATGCATTATTATAAAGAAGAATGTATTACATTGGCTTATATGGTGGAAGCTGGGTCAGCAGTGGCTTGTTGCACACTGGAGAGGCCGAAAACCCACTGAAGGGGGCTGCTGAGCCCACAGTACTGGGTGCTTCAGCAGTCCTGATTTAGTGATGAAGGCCTGGAGGATACCGGGAGAGCTACTGGGCTTTAGTCCACATTGGAAGGGTGAAAAAACTGGGTTCTTATGTCAGCAAAGGAAGGCTGGCTACTGAAACAACAAGACAGATACAGCCCCCAAGCAAGGTGTGAAGCACACAGACAGAGCAGCCCCTCTTCACAGCTGGCCACCGCCAGAAGGTGCTGCCTCCTCTGGGGAAGGGGCAGGGAATGCCTTCCTGCGTCTTCTCTGGCTAATTCTTCAGTCAGGCTGGTACTCAAGGTCAACAATTGCCGATTTAAGGATACCTTGAAGTGTGGAAGATTTCCCGGGTAAAGGTACCTTTTCTTCTTTAGTATTTGGGGTGACTGGCTTTTTGCAGGAAACCGCTGGCCTGAAAGTGGGAGTTTCCAGCCGCATCAATGAATGGCTAACAAAATCACCAGACGGCAACAAGTCACCTGCTCCAAAGCCTTCTGTAAGTAGCTTGGGGAGATCTGAGTTTCTCAGATCTTACAACTTACACATAAGAATAAAAGAGCAGTTGGCTCACCTGCCTAGGAGGGATGGTTTTCCTGTCCTCTGCTGCTGCTGCTGGGTGGATCACTGGTGGGTGGCACATTGGTGAGTGGCACACTGGTGGGGGGCACACTGCTGGGTGTGCACACTGGTGGGTGGTACACTGGTGGGGGCACACTGCTGGGGGGCACACTGGTGTGGGGCACACTGGTGGGGGGCACACTGGTGGGGGGCACACTGGTGGGTGGCACACTGGTGGGGGACACACTGGTGGGGGGCACACTGCTGGGTGTGCACACTGGTGGGTGGTACACTGGTGGGTGGCACACTGGTGGGTGGTACACTGGTGGGTGGCACACTGGTGAGTTGCACACTGCTAGGCGGCACACTGGTGGGTGGCACACTGCTGGGGGGCACACTGCTAGGCGGCACACTGGTGGGTGGCACACTGCTGGGTATGCACACTGCTGGTTGGCACACTGCTGGGGGGCTCACTACTGGGTGTGCAGACACAGAGTGGCCTGGGCAGCTGCACCACGATTCAGGGTAAAGCACAGCCTCTGCCGGAGGGGAGGAGGGGGGCTTAGTTGTGGCACACGATGCTGGGGCCGTTCAACTAAGACCCTCTGCATTTCTCTCTGTTTTCCTTTATTTACTTATCTGTTTATTTGGCTTCTATTCTATAAACCACACACAGGAATTTGAAAGCAAAATGCCATGTTTCTCAGGCTACTTATTTATTACAAGCATTCCAAAACTTATTCCCAAAAGATTGTGTATTTTGACCGTTTTCAAGCCATGTTTTTTTAATTTTACCTAATATCTATAACTTAACACAAAATAGTTATTTAGTAGCTATTGAAATAATTGCTATATACATATAATTAATATAAATTGAATAATGTGTTATCAACACCTGAAAAGGAAAACCATAAAAAACCCTGAAACTAGAAAACTGGAATACTCCCCCTGCAAAAAAACAAAAACTGGCTATGAATATTATTTTAGACTACTAAAACTTTTCTCATTTACTAAGTGTAAGCTAGTTATGCAAATATTCCTTTAACTCACTCACTATGTAATTGCCTTACAGTTGTTCTTAGAATAAACCATTCACATTCTCCATTCAGCCTTCTCTGCTAAGCTGACTTTGCAGCTTTATTGGTATCAAAGGAGCAGAAAAGGAACTGCCATAACTACATTCATTGTTATTTAATTTATTTATCTTTTTTTTTGTGTGTGTGGGTTTTTGCGATAACATAGCCCTGGCTGTCCTGGAACTCACCATGTAGACCAGGCTGGCATTGACCGTAACCTTCATTCTTTAAGAAGAAAAACATCCCAGATCCCATGCCTTTAAAGTGTTAAGCTCCTGCAGCAATATCCTAGCACTTCCCAAATTATAAAAAAGAAATGAAAATGTTTGTGTTTCCTTCTTGGGAGCAAAACATTAAGCTTTTTAGTTAATATTCTGCCCAAGGTCTTTGCACAAGACTTCACAGAAGGTATATGCCAATGTGAACTCAGTTTACAGTTGTGAAGACATTACCCATTGAAAAAATATGCATTCCTGCCAAGCAGATAAAGGAGATGGAATCAATTAAAAAAGGGGGGGGGGGGAGACACCACACCCAGATGTGTCTTTGGGGCCTCAAATGTCACAACTGGTCTTCTTGACACAAGAAATATAAATTATTTTTAAATAGAAATAAATTATGGTCTGTCAAAGGTATGGTTCTAGGCCCATGGTTACTAATACTTTGATTTCTGAATCATGAATCCCTCTGAAAGTCAAATGAAACTAAAAGCCGTTCTACAACGTGTAAATTTGAGGAGTTCATGGCCACATGCCCCACTTCAGGGACTCTCCTGAGAAAAGAAGGACACGAAGATAAATGGCCTCTCTTGGAGTATGGCATCACCTCTCTAGAGCAGACGGCCATTCCTTTCCTCCCATGTCTCCAGTGTGTGTGGCCTAGTTCATCCTGTACCAAGTTGTCCTCATGGGCTTGGTTCAGGGCTGCCTCTCGAGTCTTTGATCAGCCCCTGACCTGACTTGCTTCCCACCCATTACTCTCCTAGTGGAAGGGTTAAAAGAGTGCATGTAAATGGAGTTATTACCTCCATAGGTGGGATTGTACTAAGGATCTCACACCAAAGATAGCGGTAACAGTGCCTGCGGTTATTGATGGCCTCCTAAAAAGTGACAGGACAGAAAAGTAATACAGGAAACTTAAAAAAACCACAGGCTGCTTTACCTCCTTAGTAAGTGACTTTTAAACTTACCTAGGAAAGCAAAAAAGGGAAGAATAGGACAGTTAGTATAGATCTTAGTGATCACCTTCTTCCCATTGGGTTTGACAGATTTGTGTGACCTCAAATAAGTAAGTAAGAAATATATATTTTATGTCATAAATAAAATAGTAGGTTGGTTATACTCATTTAGCTTTGTAAAGCTTTGGACACATTCCTCTGGTAGTATTTCCTCCTGTATTTTAGCCCTAGTACCCACCATGTCAAATTACAGCTAGTCATGTGACTGTCTCCTGGAAGAAGATAATGGCTTGGAACCCAGCAAGGTAGGAAAAGTGAAGCCCGGACTCTGTGGTTGCAGCAGAAACGAGGTAAAATTTCAGTGTGGAAAAGGCCACTGGAGTCCTACAGATGTGTAGACTGTCAGACAAAACCTCCAAGGAAGGCAGGATACGAAGATATCAAACAGGGATCTTGGGTCCTATCCATGAGGTGTCACAGTGTTGACCTGAAGCTAAATTCTGACCATTATGGTTTTTTTTATTTTTTATTTTTTCAAGTTATAATCTGAGCACTTTTTTTTTTTTTTTTTTTTTTTTTTTTTTTTTTTTTTTTTTTTTTTTTTTTTTTTTTTTTTTTTTTTTTTTGGTTTTTCGAGACAGGGTTTCTCTGTGGTTTTGGAGCCTGTCCTGGAACTAGCTCTTGTAGACCAGGCTGGTCTCGAACTCACAGAGATCCGCCTGCCTCTGCCTCCCGAGTGCTGGGATTAAAGGCGTGCGCCACCACCGCCCGGCCTGAGCACTTTTTGAAGTATGAAAATATACATTCTTTAATATATTGGTTCCAGTCCTTTCTTTTTTTACACCATCCACTTCAGCCATGTGTGTTTCCATTTTGGTCCTTCAAGATATCTAAGTTTGGGGGCTCTGGTTAGGCTGGTCTTGAGTCCAGAATGTCAGAGGATTATCTATAAGCAGCACCCAGTAGGAGAACTCCAATAGTCCCTTCTGGTTCTGGACAACTTATTCTCAACCCATTTCCTTTATTCTCACTATGGGTAGTTGGAGGAGAAATCCTAGGTTTGTTGTTGGCAGCTGTGACCTGTGACCATGAAAACAAAGAGTTATTTCAACCAAACAGTCTTTACCCATGGTGAAACCCCAAAAGCAAAGGGTAAGCCAGAGGGCTAACACTAGCATATTGCGTTCTGAAACTCAGAAGAAAAACCACCCAAGACTTCGTAGTTATGGCCTTATTCTCAGGGATGCTAAGAATTACAAGTACTCAAAATTGTCATCATTATCCCCCAGAAATTAGCATATTTAAAATTAAACATTGTCCTGCTTTGTGTATCTTTCCGGGACAGTCAAGCTACTTACGAGTAGAATGTATAAACTTCCAGCATAACTTTGTGACTGGAATTCAAGTTTGAATGTTTTAGCTGATTTGTCTAGTCTTTGTGTCTAAACTACATGTCATATAGCAATTAAAGTGCTAACTTGTCTCTCTTTTTGTTTAAAAAAGAATGATGCCTTTCTCAGCTGGCTTCTCTTCTTCATTCTTTCGTCTCTTGTTGACTGGAAAGCTGCCTTTTCTGCCTTCATCTCTCCCTCTTCTCCCGGCCTGGGTCTTTCTCTCACATATAGTATGGTCAGGTAATTCCATTTATATTGCCTTTTGACTTGAAAATGCTGACTTACAATGTGGATGCTGCTATTTTCTGGAAACACCCTTATTTAAACTCTTTAAGTGATCTGGAAAGATTCATCAACATGATTTCAGGGAAATGGAGCACTCGTGGGATAGAAAAATATTTGTCATCTATGAATCAAAGAAATAAGTGATAGCACCCACTTTTCAGAGCTTCTTCCAGCATGTTCCTTACTATAGCTGCCAATGTTTTTAAGTCTTTCAGACAATTTGGCAACTTTTACCCACACTGGCAAATGTAGTGGAATTTTTTTTCTTTTTAAATATGATTTGTCGCTTAATGTTTCCAAGTTAAATAGGTATCGCTTTCTAATAGAATATCAGGAATTCATTCCACAGGCCCATAACCTCGCTAAGGGTATGACAAATCTCCACATGGCATTATTTAACCATGCAGGTTCAGTATTGAGATGCTGGTATTCTGTGTCAGAAATATGTTCACCAAAACTGGCATCCGTGGAAAACCACAGCTGCTAAGGCTTTGCCTTCCTTAACGAGAAAAGGCATTGCCAAAGTAAGCAGTACTATTTTCAGTAAAACACATTCATTTTCTCCAAACTACCTGTGCCAAGTACTAATATAAGCAAATGCTGGAAGAAAAGTAAATGAAAACAGCAATTTGGGTCCTTATCCAAATGAAATGAATTATGAGGTAGTAAATAAGAATCTAAGACTATATGACTAGTATGGGTCATACTTTACTGTTTTCAGGAGTCACACATGTTCTTAACATGCATCATCAATTGCCCACTTCTCTTAGGGTTGCCTTGGGTGACATATGATTAATTTTGGGGGGCTAGGCTCTACTAATCCACTTCCAAATGACACACTTGGCCATCAAGAAACACGGAGTGATTTCAGTATCTCCCTTAAGTTGCAAGATCCCAGGAGAGTGATCCTACAAAAGGGGGTTGTTAGGGGACGAATAGAACACTATAGGGGATGATCTGGGGAGATGGGGGCCAGCCAAGACTGTGAGCACAGCGCCATGGGGGCTCTGAGAACCCAGCTCCATGCAGACACCACCAGAGGTCAGATGCTTCCAAGTGTACTCCCGAAGGCAGGGTGGGCCTAAGAAGCACTCTGAACCTTCAGCCTGCCTCTTGGGTAAGCAACATGGATGTCTGTAGCCAGAGAGTTGTTAGTGGAGGCCATGTATGTATTTCCAGCCTATTTCCAGGAAACAGGCCAAGGTCTGTTCACAAGACAGGTAACGGCTAGTAGTTCTTCTATTTTGGACAGTTGATGTGGTGGCTGGCCTACTTAGGCTTAGCCAGAAATCATGAATGGTCACCTGTCATTTTTTTTTTCTGCTTTCTTTTCATTAGGACTTGAGGCCAGGAGATGTATCTGGCAAGCGGAACCTCTGGGAAAAGCAATCTGTGGATAAGGTCACTTCCCCCACTAAGGTAATATCCTAAGGGGAATCATGTTTCAGAGATTGATTATTTTTTCCCGATGAATCACTGAATACGATGTCCTGGGATCAAATGAGAAATATTGCTAACTCACAAATCTATGCTTGGATGACCATCAGTTTCTAAAAATCATGTGTGTTGTAGCCCAGAGACAGGACAAAGCCATTGGCACTGCCGGCTTGTCAGGCTTTCAACACAAATGTCTCAGTCATGGGATGGTTCCCAGTAAGACAGTTTCTAAATAGTTGTCATAGTTGTGGAACAGCTGGCCATCAGAGCCATAAGGGATAAGCATAGTCTTTCTTTGCAGGCCCCGTGATTGGCTACACAGTTATTTCAAGGGAAACAAATCTCTTGGGAGAAATTATGTGCCTCCTTTTTTGGCTCTATTTCTAGAACTCTCCTAGGAGACATTGCCCACAGCCTCAGACTTAAGGTGGCTATAGCAAAAATTTTAATTTTTAAATAGACAAAATATGCTACCCAGTGAAAACTAATGGCTAAGAATGCTTGGTCCTCTAGGAAAAGTGTGTGCGTATTTTCCAGAAACACCCTCTAGGTGGTGTTTAAAATACACTCAGAGAATAACCAATACTGCTGGTTGTATAAGGAGATAATCCACTCCTAATTGTGGCAGTTCCCCATTTCAAGAAACAGACTCAGCAGGTCCCTCAATAGGAGAACATTCAGAAAGAGAACTCAGATCAGTAATAAGGTAAGAATAGTCTGCTTCCTAGTAATGCAGAGTCCTAGGAGAGAGACTTCTGAAGCGAACTCTGGGCTAATGAAGCTCTCTTGAAGGCAGCTAGAGGATCACTGAGATCCACTCTAGGGAGGGAGGGACTTCCCCCGTTCCTGGGTTCTGCACTCTCTTCAACCTGGTGCAGGTGCCTGAGTGTGGCACTCCATCTTCCCCATCAGTTATAAACTGCTCTTCTGAGCCAGTGAAATCCACTAGCCCAGCCTCTCTACTTACAGTGACTTCTAAATAACCCCATTATCCAAATGATTGCTAAATATGCTTTTAAAAAGTACCCAACAGCTACTGTTTGCTAGGTACCATTATTGCCTCGTGTGTTCCTCCAGTTACTATGAGCCTTAAGTGGGAGGACCGTTACCATTTTATAGCTGAAGAAAATGAGGCACTGAGGAATGAAGTAACTTTTGTAAAGGAACATATCTAACAAGTGGCCAAATGTGCGCCTAGGGGCTACAAAGACGGTTCGGTGGCTAAGAGCATTTGCTGTTCCTGCAGATGTCCCAGGTTTGATTCCCAGCATCCACACAGCAGTTCACAACCCTCTGTAATGACAGCACCAGGACAGCACCAGGGGATCAACACCCTCTTCTGGCCCCTGAGGGCACTAGGCATGCATATGGGACATAGTTATACATGCAGTCAAAACATAAACATACAACAAGAAAATTCATGTTCAAAAAATACCTACACTGATACTCAAGCAGTCTGCTCTGAGCCTACATTCTTTTGTTGTTGTTATTGTTGTTTTGGTTTTTTTTTTTTTTTTTTTTTGGTTTTGTTTTTGGAGACAGGATTTCTCTGTGTAACAGTCCTGGCTCTCCTGGAACTCATTTTGTAGACCAGGCTGGCCTCAAACTCACAGAGATCTGCCTGCCTCCCAAGTATTGGATTAAAGGCATAATGACTACCATGCCTGGCTTCTGAACATTTTTAACCATGACCCTTGGGGGTTTTTTTAAATGTACATAAAATATAACGTTCTTAAAATCCCTTCATAATTTTCTATTGGCAGAGAAAAGGGGGGAGGGTGATTATTTGTTTTAAACACAAACAATGAACTTGTGGGCCTAAGACTCTGAAATCCTGGGAGCATGAATATATCTTCCACAGTAGTGGTTCAGGTGGTATGACAGCATCCTTTCCGAGTAGGGGATGTTGACTGTCCACCGTCACAGGTATCAGGGTCCCTGTGGTCATATTCAGGCTATAGGAAGTACAGCAGAACTACCCTGGAATGGGGGACTAAGATGAGACCTCTCACATACAAGACAGCCTGAGTGTGCATGGTGAGGCAAAGCACCCACCAGGCCTTCCCCCATAGTCTTCACCACTGACCTCTTACAGAGGCTATAATAAGACCACCGTACCTACTCAAGATAATGAGACAGCAGGTGAGGGGTCCCTGTTCAAAACATCAGACTCCCTACTCACTATATGGCCATTCCCTTGAAATGGAAGTACACTGTACTTTGAAAATACGATCTATCACACATTAACATGTTACTACCTCAGAAGGGACTTTTAGCAGCTGGATGAGGGGGAGAAGAATGGATAAGAATAGACTAAGGGTCTGGTAAGTCTCGGGGATAAGAGAAAAAGGTGACAAGGGGTATATAGAAGAAAAGCAATCACATTGGCATGTTGATGTGGCCTTGACTGAGCTAACCAGTCATGTAATACACTAGAAATTCCCAGTCCAGTCCATATTGTAGAGCTTAAAAGCCATCTCGACCTTGAGTGCCATGAGCAAAGATGAAGGTCAAGGTAGGAAAGGAACAACCAGGAGAAAGAAAAAGGGAGAATCAGTATAAAGATGGAGCGAAAGGTCACATGTGACCACATGCCAGTGGTACCCTTCCCCTTTGTGTTGTTTATATTTACTCCTATCATACCGTGAGTCTTTAGCTCAAGATCTGTCCTACTGAAACACTGTGGGCTGCTGATTTAAAGTTCTCTTCTCTCAGCAGGTTTGAAACAATCGGAGAAAGAACCCAACTGCGAGACGTCTTGCTGGGTCAGCTCGGTTGTAGGGGGCTAACTGCTCTGTTCATATTTATGTCAATTTACTAAATTGGGTTCATTTTCCTTTTTTAAAAATAATTCCAATATCCCAGTAAACCCATGTATATGCTCACTATATTTAATAATCACAACTAGAGATGTTCGTGGCCACAGTACTGCCTTTGCAGTAGAGCCTGTTGCTAAAGAAACCCGTGCTGTGAAATAGACTCGCTACTGTCTGCTGTCATCTGAGCAGTGACGTCAACCACATTGGAAGTCAACAAAAGGAATTCAAGATTAAGATTATCTGAGGAATGCATGCGGTATGGGGGGGGGGAGGGAGGGGAATGAACCGTAGGTTTTGTTTCAATACAGACATCATGTTTCTGCACTTTAGATTAAAGCATGGAAGAAATTATCTAAGTAGGCAATTGAGACTATCTGAAAGGAACCCATTTCAGATCTGATACAGGGCAATAATGATTGTCTTTTTTTTTAAAAAAAAGATGTACTGTTGAGATATTGCTTTTTTATGTGCTGATTCATATACCTAAATTGGATGAGTATTTTAGCTGACTGGTACTGATTTTTTTTTCCAGGATGATTGCTTTGTGGATTTCTTTGGTAGCAATAGTAGCCTGAACCACATTTAGATAACACAACTATGTAATGTATGTGCATATATGTATACAGACACACCAATGGTAGACTGCTCTTTCATGTGCTAGACTATTATATTCAGTAGTATGTCCTTGTAACTAACCAATATCACAGCTTTTGAAGATGAAAATCACAATATTATATTAATATTTCATATTTGCTGGTAGAAACATGAAAGTTAGGTATAGTTATGTTTTCAATGCCCAATGACTTATAAGAAAAATATTGGAAAAAAGGATTAGAAGTGTCAAAATTATTTGGAATTTCTTATAAGACATAGTATTTAGTTTATAATTGAGGGCAGTCTTGAAGTCCAGTGTGAATTTATTAAGTCTACCATCTGGACCAAGCTCAACGCCTACTTATTTGTAACAGTAAAATTCCCCAAAAAGTTGACCTACATGATATCTAAGGTGTCTTCTTTCTCTACTATGTAAAGCCAAGCATTTTGGTTACAGTATTGCACAAATCAGAACTCGTGTAGACACCTAACAAAGACCAACTTGCCTCGTGTAGAAGCAGAAGCTAAAGTGAGCAAAGACATGGCAGTTCTATCTGTATGTACTCAGACTTTTTAAATTAAGATTGTCTGTCTTTTATTAGTCAGTTGGTACTGTCCTAAGTTGATAATATCTAACAATCTCAAAACTATATGTAAATTTTAATAGTTTTAATTTCCCCCTCAGGGTCTCTAGGAACTCCACCATTCAGACATCAGATCCTGTATTAGCTTATGTCTTCATTCTTCCCCGTAGATAATGAAAAGTACACCTGCGTCTTACAAAATGTTCTTACATAGAACATTCTATGCATACAGTGTCATTGTACAAACTCATACCTCAGCTGACTTAACCAAAATTATCTTTGTCTCCATTCCTTCCGCACTGGGAGAGCCTCCAAAATAACTAATCCCACATATTTCCCTTCAAGGGGGAAGGGTTGGCTTGAGGGGTAACCACTGCCTGAAAAGTCTATTTTTCTCATGAATTAGTGAGAGTTAGTTGGATTCCCTAGCTTTTAGCAAACTTGGGCCAAAGGAAGGAAAGCCACTAAGACTACACACGTCATCTGCCCATGACAGAGTAGACACAAGTCTACGATAAGATGAACTAGAATGCACACGGTGCACCATGGAAATGACTTCCATCATTGGAGTAAAATGGATCAAAATTCAAGTTCAGGCCGAGGTGAGGAGACACGGCCGTGTTAGAGTGCTGACAAAGGCCTTCTCCTGACAGCTATTATCTAGGCTCTGTGGGTTTTGTTGCTTTTAAGAAAGTTCCAAGTTGTGAAAAGAATGTCTTGATCCTAAGTTTTATTCCAATATTTGGATGACATGAGTTTTAGGGTAGAATTTTGTTCTGTTTGGATTGAATCTTTGAGAAAGCAAATTCCTCATTTACTTGTTCGGTTACAGCTCTCTGTTATCTTTAAGAGAGGAAAACTGCACGTTGACTAGCGTGTTCTGTGAATCTGCCATTGTTAAAAACATTATAAACACTTGGTTATTTTCACTGATGATTGATCGCTGCAATAAAAATATATTGTGAAAATGCATCCACAATAAATGGAATTCTTCCAAATGCCCCTGCCTCATGCATTGGTCTGTGAGAAATGTGGCTGTAATATAAAGAGGGGGGCGGGGTGCTGGCACCTCACCTTGAGTGTTGGTTTCACTCTATACAGGAAAGAAGCATTTTGAGATGGGATTTCACTTAGCCCGGGCTGACCTGGAACTCATTATGAAACCAAGAATGACCTTGAACTCCTGATGCTCCTTAGCATGCTAACAACTACTTGTTAGAATTAAAATATTTAATTAAGTTCAGAATTAAAGTATTTCTTACTACAGGGAATTTTCTAACCAAATGTTCAAAAGTGCCCTGAGGTAGACAACTGACGGCACATTTTAAAAAGTCTCCTTCAAAATACAAGTAAAGGCTAGGTGTGGAGGCGGCCCAGGCTTGCCATCTGAGGTACTCAGGAAGAGGCATGGGTTTTTGTTCATCGTCCTGTTCCCAGCTTTCTAGCTTGTCAGCTCATCCGATCTCAGCTCCACAGATAATCTGACCACTTACTCTACTTCAGAATTAATACAGATGTTTTGCTGTGGCATGCTGTTTTAAGGAACAGTTAACATATTCTGTAAAATAAAACATGCACACCATTTAATAGGGCTGGACAGGCCCCTGACAGTCTGCCTCTCAGATGACTCTGATGCTGTGGTGGCCCTGCTGTTCTGCAGACCTTGCTTTCGGAGCCAGATCTTGCTCTCCCTCCCCGCCATTCCACTCCCCCTGTGGAGTGTGTGAGACCAACCATGTAGACAGTAACCTGGCCAGGTAAAGAGACCTTTGTCCTTTTGGCCCAGGGATGTCCTAATCCCAACACAACAAGAGGCAAGAATCTTGAAGGAAAAAGAACTTAATGAAGGCAATTTTATGGGATGAGCCTGGAGTTGAGTCTTGGTTAGTTGCTGAGTGGGACAGATCTCAAGATCTGAGCTTGGGAACACTTTGAGAGGTTTGGCCCTTGAATGGGTCATCCTGAGGCCAGACAGTGCAAGGAAGGTGCAGCCTCTGAAGCTCTGGCCACACTCTGGCCAGTTCCTGCCCTTCAACCCCGACCTCTGGTTCTTAAAATGGCTTCATTGACTAAACTGTGTGAAAAGACCCTAAATCCCCATGATACCTAACTTCTATGATGTCATAAAGAATGAATGCACTGGTCACTTTGTTTTCTTATCTAGATCTGTGTTTAATAAATTCTAAATGACAAATTATTCAAAATAAGTTATATTCCTAACATAGCTTACATTTTTGCCACTTTACTAAAATGAACTTTCCTCCAGATGTCGTGCCAGTGACTGTGCCTTTGTGGTCATACAGCCTTCGTCTCCTTTTCCTCTTTTCTTACTCTTCGTTTCTTGTTTTGAATATTGTGAGTCCTACTGCCGTATGAAAGTAGAAGGAAAGTTACGCAGGCTACATCTGCCTCCTGAAAAGGTAGCCTGGCTCTGAGTCTGTCCGGTAGCTTTCAGTGGTGAGATCACAGAGACGGGAACAAAACTCAGCAAGTCCTTGAGTTTATCCCAGGCCTTATTTTCATTTTAACTTGAGGGCGGAGAATTTAATTTCTAGTATGTGCTACTGTCTGAAATCAATTTTTTAAAAAAACAATTTTTAAATTAAACATGTAAAACTGGATGACAGTTTAGTGGGGAAAGGACTTACCACCAAGCCTGACGACCCGAGTTCGATTCCCAGGGTCCACAGGAAAGAAGAAAAGACTCCTGTGGGTTGTCCCTGGACCTCCACACATGCACTGTGCCACACATGCCTCCCTCCAAATGCAATAAAAATAATTTTTAAAAACTCATTTTTAAACATTTAAAGTGGATGCTTCAAAGGTATTTTAAATTTACCTGGAGGAGAGAAAATCCATATGACATCTCTTTAAAACGACACTAGCTCCAGCCAGCACTTCTTTCGTAGGCTTTGTCCTTGCTGCTTCTTCCACCTCAGCAAGGTCTTCTCTCACCATGCACGTGTGTATTCTCCAGTTCAGACACCACCTGGGCCGAGGACTTCCCTGCTCTGCCAAGCTACCCACCCCCAACACTTGCAATGTTCCTTATTTCTCTTCATAGTCATTTCCATTGGCATGGTTCTATTGCTTTCTCTGGTTTTCCCCATTAGCATGTAATCTCCATGGAAAACTGTTCTGCTCCCTGCAATAGCCTTGTACTGCCAATAGTCCATGATGTGAAATGGCCAGGGAAGATCAGATGCACAAAGAATGAATGTGATTTTCAAAGTTCACTGAATTTCTAAGTAATTTTCTTATGCACTAACATAATTCTCCTCTATAAAGACTCATTGACATGTTAATGTGCACACATATATACACACATACATATATGTGTGTGTATGTATATATACATATATATAGTTATATATAAATGATATATATAATTTAAGTCCCATCTTTACCTCTTCATACCTGGTTGGGTCATTTCTCAGAGCTTCATCTTGTGAACCTGACAGCCTATGGCCTTTATCGATGACTAAAGTCCAGCAATAACGACAACAACAACAAAAATAGATTCCATATATAAAGACTGTCTTAGCCCATGTACTGTGTTTAATAATACAATACCACTGGCTGGGTAAGTTTAAAGAAAAGAGGTCTAATTTGGCTATGGTTCTAGGTCAAGGGAACACATTTGGTAATGGTCTTGCTGGCAGAGACCAGAAACAGGGAGCATGTCTCCTCGGATCTCTCTTATAAAGCCACTAAGTCGTAATTATGAGGGCTCCACCTTGATGGTCTCATTTCATCTTACTTAGCTCTGAATGGCCCCACATACAAACACTAGCAGGGTTAAGTTCTGTCCTTACAGTTCCACAATGGCAATTCAATTTCAGCCCCTGGACCTTTGAGGGTACCCTCGACCCATAGCCGAGATTCTCCGAGCATGCCACCTTTAGAGATGTACATGTGCATAAGGTCCGAAACCAAGCAGGGCTAATTATGGAGATTATTTTTCAAACCATCATGATCTAAGGTAGACTTTATTTCCTCAGGTCAGTGGAAAAAAAAAAAACCAACAAGTCCCAGGATTTTGGATTGCTAACCAAAACAGATTTTCAGAAACTTAGCAAATCTAGAGATGCTAACTATTCCATTTCCATGCTTAAACAAACAAAACCACGTCTCCCTTTAGGTTTCAAGCCTGTCATCGTGTTTGTAAAACGTCACAAGTCTCAAGTCATATAACGTGGCTCACAAGGGCACCAAGCACCTATTCATTTGTTGTCTTTATGGGTTGTTTTCCTTTTAACTTTACTTGGAAAACTGTTCCAACTGTATTATCCAACAGAGTTAAAGATGACTAATAATTGGTATGGGATGTACACGAAAAAAGTTCCTAAATCTGATATGGGAATATCTTACTGACTTAAATATGGTTTTAAAAAGAAAAAAAAAGATTTTTTTACGTGTAAAATGTTGACTAATAAAGGATTTCTAATCTAATGAAACCTTTTAAGAGTCTGCCCTTATATAACCATGACTCCTTCAAATCAAGTCGTTAAGTCTCATTTCCAGAATAAGAACAGAATTATGCAGAATGGAACTCAACTTTTTTTTTTTATGTTTTTTCGAGATAGGGTTTCTTTGTAGCTTTGGAGCCTGTCCTGGAACTAGCTCACGTAGACCAGGCTGGCCTCGAACTCAAAGATGTGCTGCGATTAAAGGCGTGCGCCACCACCGCCCGGCGTAACTCAACCTTTTAACTCCTAGTACAATTAATGCATTCTTTTTATGGTTGAAGGAAGTTTAGTCCAGAAAATTAACCCCAAGGTCAAGCTGATAGAAATTAAAAGAGCATTAAGACACAAGTCTTCAACAGTTTGTTCTACTGCCTTCTCAGCGCAGGAAACTAGCAAACAATCCGCTGTCACTCAGAACAAATTGCTGTCGCGCCTCCCCCAGTGCTAAATCGTCCTTCCAACCTGCATAACTCAAAACCTGTCCAAACCTCCAGGTAGCGAATGATTACCCTGAAGCCAAACCCAGAGTTCCCATCTTCGCTGGCTTCCCTCTCCCGCCCCAAACCGCACTACCTCCGTGCGGGTCGCTAGGCAAATCCCCAGCGCTGCCCGAAGTCTCGCGGGTGTACAGCCGTTGCCCCGGCAACAAGCGGCCCGCTCCCCATGGAGGGCGTGCCTGCGGCCGCTGAATTACGGTGGCGTCTCCTCGGGCTCGGTCGTCTCCGGCGGTCTAGGGGGCGTCCTGAAGTACTCTCCCGGCAAGGGTGGAACGACCGAGGGGGCGAGGCGGGCGGCAGAGGCGCCGCTTAGGCAGGGGAACGCGAGCAATGCTCCCGGAGGCGCGGGGCGGCGCGGGGCCGGAGTGAGTGTGCGGGGGGCGGGTTCGGCGTGGCCCTGCGGTCCACCCCACCGAGAAGGCCTGGCGGGACCGCGCGCCTCCTCGTTCGCCGCCTCTGCAGGCACCCGGGGGCCGCAGGCTTCAAGCCCCCAGCGTCCGTGCAGGAGACGGCCGCCGGGTGCCTGCAGGCGGGTTGTCCCTGTTTCGAGCTGTCATCCGGGGCTGGAGCGTCAGCCTCCGCCCTGATGTGTCATCTAGAAACAGATTTCTTGGAGGTGGTTGTTGTTGTTTATGTTGAAGCTTGCGAGGCTTTCTGTGCGGTCAGCGCCCCCAAACACGCTCTTTTCTAAACAACTCAAACAAGGGTTGTGAAGTGTGATCAGTTGCGTGCCGTCCACGCTCCTGAACTTTTGTTTCTATAGGTAACATAAACCAGTAGTTGTGAAATTGGGAGATCCCTTTGGTAGCCTCCAGAGTGTAAAATCTTGGCAATGATTTTCGCTCATTCAGTTGCTTGGGAACAGGTTTGGCTGGAAGCAACAGTGTTCCTCTCCCAACAGAACCTTTTGATAGAACCTTTGATAGAATGCTAATAATGTAATTAAGTTAACTATACAGTAAATGATCAGAATTAAAGAGAAACTCAAGTGTTAGACACTGAAGCTTTTGAGTCATTGAAAGTTAAGGAGGAAGGGAAAAATTTAAACTATTGCTACATTATATTGCCTGACTAATCATACTTTTTCTTGCCTAATTTTAATGCCTGAAGATAATCCTGAATATACTATAGTTCTGTAGTGTTTAATTATAAATATAACGTGTAAATGGCTTGGCTATGTACCGTGAAAATTTTTCAACTAAATTATTTACATGATTTGTCTATTTTTAAAAAAGACTTCTTCAGTTTTATTTTTCTTCATAACAGGGTATAAATTTAGCTGGCCCTCTCCATCTCCTCCCAGATTCACCTTCCTGGTCCCTGTCCACTCATCTTTGGTCTTCATTTTGATTGTTTTATTTAATTAAAATATAGTTACCTTATTTACTCCCCTTCCAATATTCTCAGAACCATTGCCTCTCATTATTATCCTTATGTGTGTGTGTGTGTGCGAAGAAAACAGAGATGCCAACTGTAGGAGTCTGCTGAATGTTGCTCGTATGCATAGATTTATAGGACTGGCCATTTGGTGTTGTATAACCAGTTAGTGGGCTTGGGCTTGTCCTTATTGGGATACTGATAATTTCTTCAAATCTTTGAAATTGTAATTAATTTCCTGTCTCCTTATTAATTTAGATTTTAGAGCTCTGTCACTGTTAATTAAATACAGTTGAATGTGTTTGGAGTAGTCAGCTAATGTAGAACACCTAGGCTTAAGAGAAAAGCTGCCCAATAGTTTCCTTAGAACTTCTACAGCCTCCTCACATACTAAGTGAAAGTTCAAGGCAGACACTAGGAGAGATGTCAGAAGACTCAGAGGAGGAAGACTATTCAGACAGAAGTATCAGCGATTATGATGAATCGGTATGTCTTTCTTTACATAATTTGAGATAAAATGTATTGTAAAGCTTATATTCCCAATTAAAACATGGTAGAATTAATGTGATCTAAAACTAAACTAAAGGATGATGTCATTGTCTTGAAGGTTAGAAAAAAGCTTGACTGAAAAACTTATTGTGTAATATATCCCATCTAAAAAAATATCTTGAAGAGACTATCAACCTGAAAGTGTGGAGGGGAATGGGAAGGATTGGAGGGAGTGATTTTTCTTGAAAAAATACTTGGATAAGATGATTCAGGATTTTATTACAATTTATGTATGTATTTTTAGGGATTTTATTTTTCCAATCCATATCTACTTAATTCCTTGTGCTGATCATGTTACAGCGTACTATGCCCCATACTAGAACCACTGGGGTTCCAGCCAGTGATCACGTGCTTCACCACAGTACAGCAGTGTGGCTGGTAACAGAACAGGGAAGGGGGTAGAACTGAACTGAGAATGCGTGTCTGTTCCTGCAACCTTCTCTAAGATGTTCCCTTTTAAAGTATAAATTAGAATATGTTTAAAGTCCCAAAATCTTTCCAAAATGATAGACAGTTCTCTAAGTCCATACTTTTCTTTTTTCTTTTCTTTTTTTCTTGAGTTCTCATTCTCCAACTGTTTTCCCAGGTGATCCAGGAATATTTAAACTTTATTCCTTCTCTGCAGTCATTATTATGGTCATAACCTGTGGAAGAGGAGGGATAAAGATGCAAATTTTAAGGTTCCAGCGGATTGGAATTACTGCTTTGGAGTCAGAATATAAATCAAATAATCACTGGAGTCTTTCATTTATTAAAGATTAAAGACAATCCCAAGTATTGAAGTTGATGTTAAACAAAACTCCAGGTTTTGATATTATTGGTCCTTAAGTTTTAAAACTCTTTTGTTTCAGGATGAGGTTGCGTTTGTGAAATTTGTAAGCGATGATATTCATCGGTGTGCACTACTAGCAGGTTTGAGCCCATCTATTTGTACTTTCCTCCTTTCGCCGTGGAACCTTATAAGAAGTAGGATAAGGAAACTGAAAAAGCAATGTAGATTTAGTATAACAGTGATTATTCTGGTGGGCAGGGAGGAAGAAATACATCCACTTTGGGGTTTAAACTTTCAGGACTGTTTTAAGTAGACCTGGTTAATATTAGAAAGTAATGAATGAAATTAAATGGAAACCGTGATTATTTTGTGAAGAACTGTTTAACATAAGGAGTTACCTTTTCATTTTATTCAAAAATAGAAATGTTTTAAAGATATAAGATATAACAGGCATGATGTATTGGAAATGCATATTTACTTCAGTAATGTATAGTTGCATAAGTAGTTTTTAAAATTAGGTTATCCATTCGCAAGTATTTAGATATGTGTGTATGGGCATCTTGATGTATACTGAATTTTTTAATGTATACGTTTATAGTTGTACTGTCAAATTCTAAAATATTTCCAGTAAATATTTACATATATATCGCAGTCCAATACTGGTGTTAAAGCCAGTTTACTTGTCTTTTACCCCCATGCTGAAATCTTCACTTTAAGATAGGTACTCTTCTTAAGTTGGCATGTGTCATTACGTTTCTGTGTCTGTGACAATATCATGAGCAAAAGCAGCTTGGGAAGGAAAGGATTTGTTTCATCTTCTTACTCTCAGATCACACTCCATTACTAAGGGAAGTCAGGGAGGAACCCGAGGAACTGAGCTGGAGGCAGTAACCAAAGCAGAAGCCACGGAGGAATGCTGCTTACTTGCTTGCTGAATTTGCTTTCTTATACCATCCAGAACCACTTGCCCAGTGATGGCAACTCCACCAGTGACCTGGGCCCTCTCACATCAGTCATTAATCCAGAAATTTGCTCCACAGACTTGCCTCCTTACCAGTGTTGTGGAGGCATTTTCTCAGGGTTTCATCTTCCCAAATGTGTCTAGGTTTGTGTTGACTTGACAAAAACCAACCAGCATAGTATGTATCTTTCTCTATTTTTCTCTTTACAAGTGATGTATGTGTATATACATACATATGTAGTATATGTGCATATATATAAAGTGTGTATAGGTGTGTATATACATATTATACCTATATACATATACCTATACTAGTGGAAGTTGTATAGTGCTGTTCTGTGATGCTTCCCTGCGCCTGTTTGGATTTTTGTTTATTTTGGTTTGGTGTTTTAGCTTTACTGTTTAATAGAAAACAGGATATAACTCCTTGTTTTAACTGGTATATTGTTAGAGAAATTGAGAGTTATTTTACAGGCTTATTATCAATTATATTCCCTTTTATGAATTACCCATCCATGGTAATTCTTTGATTTTTGCTTATATTTCTTCCATCATTTAGAATTATTTTGATGTAGTTGAGTTTATCAGTATTCATTTATGGCTCTTTATTTTTATCTATTCAAATTACAAAGATTTTCTCTACCCCAAGGTCATGAGTATACTCATCAGAAAAATTCTTAAGTACTTGTCTATGTTAATCTGAATTTTGATAATATAGTTTTTCACATGAGTAGGTTTTATTTTTATTTCATAAATAGCTAGATTGTCACTTTGTAATCTGTGGCATTTATTGAAATTTATCGCTTTTAATCACTGATTTGAAATGTCACCTTTACTACATATTAGACATGTTAACTTCACCGTGTAATAAATCCCATCTTTCTATCCCTGGGCTCATGAGTCACTGTTAATGTTGTAAATCACAGCTTTAAATGGGATATTTTGGTAATACTGGAACAAGTATTTTTTCACTTTCTCTAATTGAGTCAACAGAAACAATCTGAATATCAAACAATAGGAAAATTATTTAAAAAAACACATCACATTGTGTTGAAAGTATATATTGTACTATGCTCGTAAGGATTGCTTTTATAAGTAAAGAAACATAATTAGTAAAGAGCCACAAGTGAATTCTAATAGCCATATAAAAATAAATCTAAAGGATCAGTGTAGATATTTATCTTTGATACATATTAAATAAAGTCACAGTCATATGTTTAACATGATCCTATTTGGGTAAAGCCAATTAAATTGTAACTTTGACACATTTAAGGAGATGATTTGGGCAACAACAGTGCATAAATTGGGTACTTAAAACCTGAAAGGGTTTGGAAACACTGTCAAGCCACACATAAAGGGAAGACTTCAAAAGTTACTTCCTAAGGAAAGCAAAGAGTTGATTGTTTAAAGTGAAGCTGAATTGTGATCCTGGTGGAAAGTCCCTGGAGGTTAGCTCCCAGGTCCTAGAGTCATATGAAAGAAGGGAGATAAACTTAGAAGGAATTGCACATCAAACAAATGCCATGCAATTACTGATAGAAGGGGTCACTGCATTGCCTGCTGAGGGAAGACCCATAATAACCATATGAACCACACTCCTGCGGCTGGCTCACACAGTGAAAAATTTGTGACTAAGAGAACACTAGCACCCTTTAGGAATACAGTTCCAGTAAGTGTGAAGTTATAGTTAGTGACTATATTTAACTCACTGGGCAAATAGTATGGTTAAGTCAAATACAGGGCTTTGAGAAATAGATCATTTGTTAAAAATATGAGGACCTGAGTTCAAGTCCTAGCAATGTCTGCACTTGCAGTCCCAGCAATGGAAAACTGTAGGGCTCACTGGAGAGTCAGTCCAGCCTAATTGGTAGGTTCTGGGCCAGGGAGAGACCCTGTCTCTGTGGAGGGGGACAGTGTTCCTAGGATGACACCAAAACAAAGGTTGTCCTCTGGGCTCCACAGGTTCTTGCACTCACATGTAAAAGTCAAATTTAGATGATCTGCTAGAGAAGCTGCAAGAAACAGACATTATGTAAGTATTGGTAAGAAATCATATATAGGTTAACATTTTTAGCTATTATGAAAATCAGTTGTCACAAAATTTCGTTTAGATATTTAGAATGTCATGATTATTAGTTAAAATGATATCTATAAAATACATAAATTAAGTAGATTAAAAGGAAAAGAAGAACTATGTGTAACAGGTAGGAATTGGGGATTTCTTTGTGGTTACTCATGACTGTATTTTAATCTTTCTTCAGCAGATTCTATTGGTGACCCATTCTTCCCTCGAACTACACAGATTTTATTTGAGTATCAGCTAGGAAGATGGGTACCACGCCTCCGTGAACCACGGGATTTATATGGTGTCTCTTCTTCTGGTCCACTGAGCCCAACACGGTGGCCATACCACTGTGAGGTCATTGATGAAAAAGTCCAGCATATTGGTATGTTTTTAGAGGTCTTGGGGGTTCAGAATTAGCAAACTTATTTTTATCATTTTGATATTAATGAAGAAACTAATGATGTTAACAGCTGCATTCCAGAAATATAACATAAGCTATGTGCATAAATAAAAATTTCCTATTTGCTATGCAGGTTTAAAAGTAGAATTAATTTTAAAATGTAGTCTATTTAATTAAAGCTTATCAAGAATATTTTACTATATTTTTACACAAAGTCACCCAAATCTGGTATGCATTTTATACTTATGGACATCACAGTTCAGATTATTCTCATTTCACTGTGCTTAAATAGAAGGATTTAAAATGTATACCAGAACTGGGCACAGTGATATACAGCACACAGGAGGCTGAGGCAGAGGATTGCAAGTTCAAGGCTACCCTGGGCTGTATATTCCCAGATCCTATTTCAAATAAACAAATGTCCCAGATCTATACCAGCTTTGAATAATTCCAAAAGATGTAATACCATAGTCAGCCATGCTGGGCTTCTGCCAGTGTCATAGAACTCTCTCATCCTGGCTCCCAGTCTCTTCTCACTGTATCTTTGCTGATGCTTGTCTTGTTGCTGTTTCTGTTCCTCTTTGATTGTCTAACTCCTTAAACCATTTTGTCTTTGCCTTTTTTCTTTTCCACTTTCTGTTTCTTTTCTTCAGTAGATAGGGATGAGCTATAGAAGACTTGTCTAAAGTGTATTTTTTTGTTTCTTTATGTGTGCATTCCCAAATTCATTTTCTACTGTCCTGGAAAGAGCTCATAGACTTAATGTCCATAGTCAATGACAATGAGATAAAGGCAGTCAAAAAACCCTCATTGCCCTGCAACTTCCCACTGCTATTTTCCTGTTGTTGATTGTAAAGTCCACATGTGCTATTACCATGTAGAAATCTAATAAAATATTTGTGAATGGATAAAATTAAAAGCTGTCTGTACTTATTACAGTGCCTACTGAAGTTAAATGCCACTCAGGAGTTTGTTTGTTTTAGTTTTTTTTTTTTTTTCAACACGGGGATTCTCTGTGTAGCCCTGACTATCCTGGAACTCAATCTGTAGACCAAACTGGCCTCAAAGTCAGAACTCAGAGAGAGAGCCTGTAAGTAGAGTTTTTCTGGGTCTCGACAGCCGTCCCTCAAATAACCACACAGAAACTTACTATTAATTGTAAATGCTCAGCCAATAGCTTAGGCTTGTCTCCATCCAGCTCTTAGAACTTAAACTAACCCATCTCTCTTTCTCTATGTGGTGTCCCAAGGTTCATTTACCTCATCTGCAAAATTCCCATGTTGCTTCTTCTGCATCTGGCTTGCGACTTTCCAGATGCCACCCTTCTTCCCAGCATTCTCTTTGCCCCAAAAATCCTGTCTAGCTGTCAACCAATCAACTTTTATTAACAATGAGATCAACACATTGTGAAAACGTTGTGTACAGAAGGATTATTCTACAGCATTTCCCCTCTTTTTGTTTAATTAAAAAGGAAGGTTTTAACCTTAATATAGTAAAACTATATATAACAGAAACAGGTATCAAGTAAGAATTACAATTAACAATATCCAGTCTATTTATATTTGGCAAAATTAGAGAAAATACTCTTATCTAAATTTTGTGAGTCTAAAGTTTTATACCTGATTTACCTTTTAACAAAACTAAAGAAAGCTATAAGTTTAACTATTTAGTCTTTAACTCAAAAGGATGTGATGTTACCCAGTGATAGGTATATCTGGCTGTAAAATATTTTGAGATTATTAGTTGGTTTTGGATTAAAGTAGATTCAATAATCTGCCCTTTTCATATTATTCCTATATAATGTCCCCCTTTTTTCCTTAAAAAATAAATCTTTGAATTTAACTCTTATTTAGCTTTTTTCTGACTATAACCAATAACAACTTGTAACCAGCCCTCCTTAAATGATAACAAACATCCATAACTGATCTTTCTGGAATGTAGGTGTTGTTTTCTCTAGACTGCTTCCTGGTGTCAGGGGGCATTGGCATTCTTGGGGACCCTGAGAAAATTCAGGATAATGGTTAAGTGTTAGTTGGAGTAGTCTATGGGGCTGGACCATCTCAGCCAGCAGCCTTAAAACTATTCTGGATACAAAACTCTGAGGAGACTGTAACAGAGGCATTTTGAGATTTTTGGATCCACCTGGGCCATTTGTTTTCATTGGTGTCTGGTCCCCTTACTCTCAAAATACATAAACTTTTAAAGGTAATATACATATCGGTATTAGTACAAGTATAAACTGTGCATTGTACACAAATTAGTCAAAGATTTTTTTGTTTTATGTTTGAGTAGGTAAAATATGTGTTATGCATTTTGTAGGGTTTTTTTTAGGTTTATTCTTTATGTTTGTAGCCAGGATTTTTGAGGGGAGGGTGTCTTCCTGATCAGACCTGATACATATCAACCTAGAATAAATTGACAGCTTCTCATTTCCAATAGAAACAAAGCATAACCTCTTCCCCAAAGTAACATATCTTTTAACTTCCATTTTGAAGTCAACAGTTTTAAAATATATGTGTTGGTTTAATTCATCAGCTTTCATAATCCAATGTGTAGATCCTCCCAGAGCCAGCTGCCAGGAGATGCGTCTCTGTACTACAGCTGGCATGAGAGACTTGAGACTAGGAAGCTGCATTTGGCTCCATTTTTGTGTGTTTAGAACCTTGGTCTCATTTGTTTGTTTGGTTTGGTTTTTTGAGACAGGGTTTCTCTATAACTTTGGAGCCTGTCCTGGAACTTGCTCTGTAGACAAGCTGACCTTGAACTCACAGAGATCCCTCTGCCTCTGCATCCCAGGTGCTGGGATTAAAGCCATGTGCCACCATCACCACCCATCTGTTTAGGACCTTTTTAAAGCTTTCTCAGGTTTTATGTGGATCTATATGGCCCGACAGTGGGTGCCATTTGAAGGTGGAGTTTTTCTTTGTTCTGGCAGCCACTCCCAAAAAACATACTCAGAGACATTATTAATTATAAATGCTCAGCCAATAGCTTAGGCTTATCTCCATCCAGCTCTTAGAACTTAAATTAACCCATTTCTATTAATCTTTATGCTGCCCCAAGGCTCATTTACCTCTTCTACGAAATTCCCATGTTGCTGCTTCTACATATGGCTCAACACTCCTCAGACTCCACCTTTCTTCCTAGCATTCTCTTTGCCCTGAAAATCCTGCCTAGTTTTTGGCCACTCAGCTTTTTATTAACAATAAGAACAACACATTTTCACAGTGTACAGAAGGATTATTCCACAGCATCTGTTGTCCCTGCATCCCAAGTACTGAAATTAAAGGTATGCATCACCACAATCCGGCAAGGAGTTCTTAAAAGCTAAATTTTATTCTTACATTATCTGGTTTTAGATAGATAGGTATCATAGCAAGATAGACAGTCAACAGATAGAGGACATAGAGAAGCAAAAAGGATAGTGGTTTTGCTTATAGAGAAGAAAGCCAAATTTTTTCTTTTCTCTCCCAAACCTATCTATATTTTTAAACACATTGTAACAAATTTAGAGTTTTTTTTTCCATCTTGACTTCCAAATTATAGGTCTAGAAATACACTAAGAATTCATGCTTACTACTATAAGCACCATTTATTTACAGAGATGACTTTAGTGTCTATTTTCCATGGTTTAAGGTATCTCCTGCTGACCACCACAACACACTAAATCTTAACTCTTCCTCAAGTCCTTCTTATGTCTTGCTTCTGTTTCATAATCTTTTTGTAGCTGTGTGAGTAAGAAGGGAATTGGAGCTGAGAAGGAACACCCTTCCTGCTTTTCCTGTGGCCTCTGTCTATGTTCTCTTCTGTGGGAGTGGTAAGAGACCCAAAGGGGAGAAGAAAGTAAATCCCCAGTACATCACTGATTTCCAGCTTGTCCCTGCCCCATGCTGATTCCGTTTAGTAAATATCTCTCCCCCAAGCTGGACAACTCACTTTTCCATCCTTGGTGCATCCTGTTCTTACACTTAATTTCCAACCTTCATTTAGTCCTTTGTGATTAGATTAACATCAGTGCCTCGGGATGGAAAAAAGTCTCTACACCCTGGTTACCTGATACACTCCCAGTTCTGTGCTTTCAGGTTAGAGCAGTCCTATTTCTGGCTTTTACTAATTCCAAATATATTTTCATACCAAACTCCCGTTTTTAAGAATAGTTCAATTCACTGGTGCCATTTTTTAGGCGTCTTACATGGCAAATAGACTTTGAGCTTTATGAGCCCAACTTCCACTATAAATGAAGATGCAAGCACTCCATGATGTAGGTCAGATGCAGCCGTTCTCAACATTGGTTTCCCAAGGACCCTGGAGTAATGATGGAAGCTTCACAGCTACTAGTGACACACTTCGTGCATGGTAGACTCATACTGGGTGAGAGCTTTGTTTGGGGCTGTGCCGTGTTCTTTGCTTCAGCCTGAGTCCTGTAACATTTGCGGGTTGTGCAGGTTATCAAGCTGCAACATCTAGTGCATCCTTTCTGTAGGAAACATTGGGAATCTACTCCCAACTGTCTTTAACAGCTTTTCCTACTTGCTATCATTTCAGAAAGTCTTTTCCAAAGTTTTGCACATTCCTTTGAGATTGCTTTTTTAAACAAGTTTAAGTACTTGACAGGACATATAAGACTAAACAGAGTTCCACTTGCAGATTGCTTTTATTCAAAGGTAGAGGAATGGTGTAGCAAAACAAAGAGGCTTCTGGCTAATGCTGGAGCCCAGAAGGCAGGCATCCTCCTGGTACAAGCTCCCCAGAGTCTCAATTCTCTCTCTCTCCTCTCTCTTCTCTCTTCTCTCTCCTCTCTCTCTCTCTCTCTCTCACACACACACACACACACTTCTGATTAAAACAACATGTATGCAGTGAATTGTTCTACCTCAGAAACTAAGGCAAATCAAAACAAAGTTTTGTGCCTCTCCTTTCATGTGGTTAAAACAGATTGTTTAAATGTACTGCCAAATGAAAGCCATCAGTTTATAAACTTT